CCGATTGTTGAAACCGGTCCAGAGTTTTTATTTTGTGCTGGTGATATTAGTCACTCCCAGAAGGTTTACGTGGCTGATGGTAGATGCGAGAATAAAATCTATTATATATTTGTGGTGTCGAGGAACAAATGTATATACGATAGCATTATTAATTTCCTCTTTCCGCGGCTGTCGCATCATGTGACAAAGTCTGCACACACGGCCAGTAGAGTCATTGCGAGGGCAACTACCCTCTGATAACATAGCGGGCTTCCTTAGAAGTCCCATAATATGAACACAATTATTCCGTGTTTTCACATTGTGAATACAAAATAATGTCTTCGTCCATCAGAATACTGTCTGTCCAGACTATCAATGCAGCATTTGTTAGAGCCAGCAAACCCTAGACTACTTTCCGCCTGCTGGGGCTCACCAACATAGCCAGGCTTGTGTTGGATGTATTGGCAATACACCAGTTCAGTACAATCCACCGGTCCTCATAAACCAGTCTAAAATCTAAATTTGAACTGACATTGGCATTCCGACTGCTTCGACATCACGAGAACTGATTTTGATACACCACTCCGCAAGCTTTTCTGGCCGGGTTGCGATTCGTGGTGGAAAATTTTTTGTTGTTGAAAAATGTGCTTTTTATATACTGCGCAACGGCTTACCACCAATACGCTCATATTTGTTTTTAAAATCCTGCTCGACCACTGGATGTAACTGGCAATAACATAATATATGGGACTGCCTTAATCAATACCATACACACACCCTCATTGGAAGCTACAAGGAGATTTCTATTGACGCACCAGAAAAAAATTATAACAAATAATGCGAGAATAGTCGTGTTTAGCTCAGCCGACCTATCGGCGCACTCATGTCACCTGCCCCACCTCCGCTATAACACGACGCACGGCCAAAGTGACTTGGAATGAACGCCCGGCATATTTAGCCTGAGTGTAACGCGAGCCTCGTCTGACAGGGATGACAGCTGACTTCCTTCAGGGGCCTTTCCCTCCAGGAGTCTCCACGATCACACACAAGGGGGGGGGCACGCAAGCCACTTTGTTAACGAGCACTGATTAAGCACCGACGATAAGCGACTCCCGAAACCTCAACCGTCATTGGCTTCTTCCCCTGCGAGCAAATCATCATCGTTTACTCGCCCCGATCTTAGTAGCTCAGCAGCGTTGAGCCTGGAGAGTGAGCGGCTTGGATTGGTGACCCGCAATGCATAAAACAAGCGCAGGGATGGCAACGACGGTTGTCGTTTTGCAGAGATCCGATCCCCGTCATAGGAATGTGGAGTTGACCAATGACTAAAGACTGCAAACGCAGCGCCCGATGCCAATAATACCTTAATCTGTATTCTTGACACGTGTGTATACACACACACACACAGAAATGCGTTCTTTTAAGTTATTAATATAAAGAAATTCACAGAGAAGAGCCTGTTCCACCGCACGCATGCATACATACATAAAATAAACAAGTAATGCATATTACATTCAGGTCCATCAGGCCATCGACGTTCCAGACCAATGTTTTCCACGGCATCGTCAGTTTCGACTGCATTAATCAAATCAGTAGCGTGCGGCCCAATGGACAAATGCTACTGGCTTTGTCTCGTCTCGTTTAACAGAGCGCTGCAACACCGGTAGTCCTAAAATAACATGTGAGGCCACCACTTATGATTTTGTGTTAATGTATATATCAACAAACGGCAGCTGTTTGTTTATTTTACATAAAAAACAAATACGTCACAATGCCGGTAACCGCATGCGGCTCATTGAGGGCTGCTTCGTGACCGCCATTAATTGAGGAACCACCGTCTCGTGCATTGTGGCTCTTCAAATATTGAGCGGGGGGGGGGGGGGGGTGGTTATTTTTTTTTATGGAATTCTAAAAAAACTGCCTCTTCTTATTGTTTTGGTTGTCGCCGCTTTGGATGAGGGTGATAAGATCATTCGATAAATAACGAGGCAGACATCCGCCGCTCCACAGGTGTAAAATGGAGCGCCTGTCGAACATGGACTACACAGTCGCGGCTGCTGCTGAGAGGTTGCAGATATTTCATTCGCGGACACGATCGTTGACTCGCTATTGATTCGGCGCTCGCCAAATCTTTCAGATTCCCCGATCTTCAGGTGAAACGTGTACCGGTTTACTTTACCCGACAGACTCTCGTGATCCAAGTGAGGAATCAAAGCCATTATTTTAAATGTCATGGAGAAAAAGAAAAAAAAACGTACCCCGACAATGATGAAACACCCACAGCGAAAACGATCCGTTACGCCAAGCGCCAGACAAACCACAACAACACCGCGCGGCTTCACAAAACACATTCTTCAGGAAACGTTGCATCACCCCGAAAATAGAAAATACTTCACCCCCGTAAGCACTAACACTGGATTAGAACTGCAAACTATCTGCGCTAAAAATAAGCCGCAGTTTTTTTGTTAGACGCGCGGGCGTTTCACGAGAAAAAGATGTCTTATGTACGTGCAGTATTTCCTCCGTTAAAACACAGAACAAGTCATGTGTCTGTGCCAACGGTGGTAAATGCATCTGTCCCCACCTCTGCCGATCACTCCCACGTTTTACAGCCCAGGTGGATGCATGCATTTATTCAAAGGATCCTTTCCAAGCCGTCTGGCTCAGCATGAAAGAGGACAACAAAAAATTAACCCGTAAAAACAAAGTTTTTCACTATAAATCCTTTATATGCGTGGCATCGGTTTTATTTTATTATTCATTTCTGTTTTTCTTGAGTAAGAGTTTCATTTTTATCACATTGGTATTTTAAATTAAATCCGAAAAAAACATTTTCCTAAAAAGTGTAAAATTTTGGAAACAAATTTTCACGTAAATAAATTGTCACGCACAACGAGTCTGTGTGCAAAATGTCAGCTCGATTGGATCACGGGAAGTGGGTTAAAAAACGACCGAAAGATGTGCACGGTCATAAGCAAGCAAGCGAACTTAATATAAAGAATTTAAAAATAGCCACCGATGGGGCTCCGTGGAGCTCCCTCGAGTGGACACACCTGCAGTGGCTCGAGCAAGCTATTGCAGGGCTACGCCTTAACCTTCTAATTGCGTAAAGGCAGACAGCCAAAACGTGCCTCCTATCTTGAGCATATACTTCGAGACTATGTTGTCCCTGGGTTTGCCCAACATGAATTATAATCTTTGTACGTGAAAAAAAAGCCATAAGCGTGCATTCGTAAACAAGAGCATGCCATGTCTGCAACACTTGTTCATAACTTTGGAGTCTTTATTGTCATCATCGTTAAAGCTCCAAACTCATACCACGTGGACACGTCATACGACCCTAGGGATTGCCATCTCAGAAGTGCAACAGGGAATGATCAGGGGAGGAATACGGTATTTCAAGATACCAGAGGGGGGGAACCAATCGTAAATGAGCGGTGGATAATTATCATCATCATCATTATGCAAGTGGGGAAAAAAACAGGATTTTTATTTATTATAATGTCCACCGGGGAGACTTGCAGACGTCCCAGGCCAGCTACCTCAAAAAGACGATGTTCCTGTGAAAACCAGGACAGGTGGCAACCACATGTGGTCCTGCAGTGTCACCTTGCTCCGCACAATGGGTGTGTGTGTGTGCGTGGGATGCCGCTGTGAGAAGCTAGCCTTGGGAATCTTTTGCGCTTTCTGTGGGTTTTTGCCACCCAATTTAAAACAATAGGCAGCGTTCCACAGCTTAACCACAAATACAAAGATAGCTCGCATCGTCGTGTAGACTTTGGGGGTGAATGTTGTTAGCGCGCACCTACTAAGGCCAGCACAGTGCGTGAGGGTGTACAGTGCTAATGTTTACATGCCACGCCAGGTACTCATTCATGTAAGGTGGAGTCAACTTAAGGGGTGGCCCAGGACCGGTTTAGATGTCACCCACTCGTGATGTTTAGGCATGGCGGGGAATTGAACTCAGGAGACTTGGCCAGGTTTGTGGAGCAATGTGCGAACAGCTGCTGGCCACCTCTGCCCACTCCGTTAAAGAGATAAACGGCTAAACTAAACGTACACAACGCCACACGCAGGAGACACAATAGCCATAACTCTCTCGGTGATTTCCACACTCGGGAGTGCACGGCCCCTGCGGTCTTCAAGAACGGTCGCACAGCCGCACAGAGCTGAGGTTGTGGCCGATAATTAGGCAACAAGAGGATGCAACGTGGCAGAAAAGCAATCAGCTTCACCATAGTTAGAGATGGTCAGGAGGGCATGTGGCAGGCTACTCGTGGACGAGGAAAGCAGGCTCTTGGCGGATGAACGTGCATTGGTAAAACACAGCAGATGAGTCGCATTCATGACGTAATGTTGTTGTTGTCGTCTTAATTTCGAGCTGTTACGAGGCGTTCTCTCCAATGAGGCGTTCTGTCCAATGAAGGTTTTCGCCCGCTTTCCAGGTCAGGTCATGTCCTCTCAAAAAAACACACAAACGCGTGTCATGGAAAAATGTGATTTTTTCGCGGAGATGTTTCAAAAAATGCTTATCCCCGTGTTATGTATGACTCTCGAATTAAAGGCAGAATGAAGGCCAAACAAACATTCATATTTCAATGAATCGCAGGTATCAAGATAAGTGTTTTTGTACAATGTGCCCGACTTCACAAAGGTCATGGGCTAAACCCATGAGCATCACCTCTGGCGGCCGCGACTGCTGCTAAATAAATACATTACCAATTATAACACCAGCGCGAGAGAAATAACCAGCAGACGCCGGGCATGACGTGGACAGTTGGCACGGGGAGTGAACGCCGACTCACCAATGCATCGGTTCCGAGACGGCAGCGTGGCCTCCAGGACGCTTCTTAGAATTTTAGCAGTGGAATCTTTTCGCGCCGTCACGAGGCCATCGCTTGCGTGACAAAGAGCCCCGTGGCATGTGCACAGAATGCCGTCTCTCTCTCTCTCTGCGGACAGAGACTCGGTGCACGCTTCGCTTGCGCGCACGGAAGATTTCCCTCCCCCACCCCCCCCCCGAGGTGCAGCGTCGTCCGCTTCTCGTGCAGTGGATTGGCACCAAAAGTGGCAGTTCGCAAAGCTGTCGACAAGTGTTGAAAATCAATGTCAGCTGGGCGGTCTACCCAGAGTCAATTTGTTAATCCACTGCTGGATGGAGGCCTCTCCGTGTGTGCAATTTCGGTTAAGTGGTGGTATTGGACTCTCTATCGAAGTTGGCCATGCCAGGGAATTGAACTGAGGTTGCCAGGTTCATCGTGCAGTGCATGAAAACACTGCGTACCCACTCCACCCAGAGCAACCAATTTGCTTGATTATATTTTTGAGATATAATTTTCAGGCCTGTGTTTGTGTCTGGTAGCAGGCCGAGGCTGAAATGTGAATGGTGCTGTGGGTGAATTAAGAATGTTGTGCCCCGTGAAACTCATCTTTTGGTAAAAGCCCCAAAAACTGTTGCCATTTGTTATTAATCATGTGACTCACGTGCGTGTGTTATTAATCACGTGACTCACGTGTGCGTGTGTTATTCATTACGGCAGTGGAGCGGTGAGCACGCTGCGCTACGAACCCGACGCTCTGAGTTCGATTCCCGCTCACGGCCAATACCAGTGACGATTTTCTGAACCGGTCCCTGGCCTCCCCGAGGTCGACTCAGCCTCAAATGATTACCTGGTGTGATGTGTAAATATCGCCACGTGAGAGACAAAGGCGACCGGGCGTGGTTTCTGGCCATCCACTCCCTCGTGTGCCATGCCCGGCCTTAATCGGTGCTCGCTAACAGCACTTGCCCCAACGGTCTGTTAAGGCTACACGGGGGATCTCTGTCTAGATATTCATTACATGCACGCTTTGTGACACATCTGTAAAATTAAGTGAAAAAAACGACGTGGTCGTACTCTGTACAATTGTTGGCGCCTCTCGCAGATTTTGTGCCCGAGGCAGCTATTTTGATCCCCACCCCCAACTCCGTGCCTGCCTGAGAGTCTGCACATCTTGGATTACCAACAAAGGACAATGACGTGCTTTAATAGAGGAAACAACATCACTGTTTCCCTATAAGCTTTATAATAATCATCACAAAGGTCAGCTTCACCGTGTCATCTATGCAGTGACCATGGAAAGGCCCTTACTCGGGTCTGGTATGCTGGAACCTCTCTGTGCTAATATCCAGTAAGCTGAAAGAAGATAACTCTGTGGATAGACTGAGAAGCCTACCATCTGTGTAGTGTCCTCAGCAATACAATGCACGGCCACGATTGCATCTACGGGTGTGTACGCACTGGGTAACGTTAATTGAATGGTGCACGTGATAATTATCGACCATTTATTGTTTAAGGAAATTGTACACAACTGGCTAGATAGCGGATTGGACCACAATCAGATCGTGCGAAGTTAAAATCCTGCGTTGGAGGTTGACTCAGCCCATCATCCCTCTGTAATCGATACAATAGGGACCACTTTGTGTAAATTCAACATTGGTTGTCCTATGTATGGATTGACTCACTCTTGTCATAGAAATGTGGAATTTCCACCACTGGCTCAGGGTTGTAAGAAAAAAATGAGCACCACCTGAGATCTGTCTATGATGCAATAAATCACTTAGACAATGTATTGTTTGAAAACGATCCGGTAATATTGCAATGAAGCTAATGTAGCAAGCAAAATCGTACAGACGAGATGCACAAATAAACGATGAACAGCACGAGACTACAATACACAAGACACAAAAACGGGACGGTTGAATCAAACCATGACCCCGAAATGTGTCAATTCATCAAATCAACAACGGGATTGAATCAAACAGAATACGTACATTTCATTTCTGTAGACAAACTAATTACTCAGCCTACGTCCGTTCAGCATACAAATATAGACACTCGCACGCACACACATTGCACATAAATCCCACACTTTAAAAACAGAGTAAATACGTTAAACACGTAGGCTTTCACGACTAATATCATCCATAATAGACGTTTTTGGGTTAGATCGTGTAAATATATCAAATCTGTCGTTAAAACTATAAAATGTGTCGCCTGATGAAGCTAGTTGTAATTACTGGTGGAACGTCGTACTCAGATTGTAAATGTTGTGGATTGGCTCTCCAACACACCGGTGTTGCTGTACTAGTGACGAATTGGCACGTTCTGTTTACGTGACAACCCTTACTAGTTGGCTGTGTCGGGTGGTGGCGGGTTTTAACGACACATTTTATATATTTACGAGATCTAACCCCAAAACCTCTATCATAGAGTAAACACGGCTTGAAAACAGCGCGGCCCTGTCGCACGCTTAATTAACAGCGTCGTTTAATCGCTCGACGGTTGAACGCGCTCGTGCCCAACTCCCCACGGCTTGCCGCTCACGTCGCATTCCTGACGGTGGATCGGCGCGCCGCGAAGCTCTTCACCTTCCAGCCGTTCATCACCTTGCAGCAGCTCACCACCTCCGAGAACTCAACCCCCCCTCCTCCTCCTCCTTCGGTGGGGTCGGCGCCAGCGCCCTTGGCGCCGGCGCGGCAGCCGCCCCCGCGGCGCGAGCGGAGGGACGCGCGGCACCCCCTCGGTTCCTGGCCCTGCGCCTGGTGCCCGCGCCAGTGGCGGAACGCTCGCTGGATGACGTGCGCGGCTTTCTCCTCGCGCCGCAGCGCCAGCGTGGTGCTCACCACGTGCATGATCCTGCGCAGCGGGAAGCGCCGCATCACCTTCTCCTGCGCCTGCCTGCTGAGCTGGCGCAGGTGCTCCGTCTTGACCACGCGCCCGAAGATGACTCGCGTCATCGTCCGGAGCACGTCGAGGCAGTGCACCTTGTTGCCCTCGACGATGGCGAGCTGCAGGGCGGCGATCTTCACCGTGTTGGGCTTGGGGATGCGGAAGGGCCTCTTGAGCGCGTCGAAGAAGTTGGGCAGCTGCTCGCAGGCCAGGAACTGCGTGGCCAGCGGGTCGAACTTCCCCCACACGCGGTAGAACATGTCGATGTCGTCGTCCGTCACGCCCGTCTCCTCTTGCTCCTGAGCCTCGTTGAAGTTCTCCAGGATGATGGCCACGTACATGTTGATGATGATGATGTTGCTAAAGATCACGAAGGTGGTGAAATACGCGATGACGAGGATGGCGTTCTGCGTCTCGGTGCCCAGGACAGAGCCCATGACGTCGTTCCAGCCGCCGGCCGTGTTGAGCCGGAATAGGAGCGTCATGCTGTTGGCGAATGTCTCGAAGTTCACCATGCTGGTGACGGAGCCACGGTAGGGCAAATCGCGGAAGATGCTCACTCCGAGGATGCCGTACATGAACATGATGAGCAGGAGGAGGAGGCCGATGTTGATGAGGGCTGGCAGCGAGATGACGAGCGTGTAGATGAGCTTGCGGATTCCGCCCACGGAGCGGATGAGGCGCAGCAGGCGCACGAGCCGCACCACGCGGAACACGCGCAGGATCGCCGGCGAGAAGTTCAAGCGTGACGCCATGGTCTCCAGGACGATCTCTGCGGACAGGAGCGCAGACACGGTGAGGGCGGTTCGCTGTGCGCCACGAGCAAGACGAACATCCTAGATTTGAAGTTTGCGTGACTGCAAGGATTCATACTCTAGTCACGTAGGTAATTTTTTTTTAATAAATTTAATAAAATCACGACGTTTTGGAAGCAACACAAGTCTCTGTCAGACGAAGATCCTAGATTTGAAGTTTTCATGACTGCAAGGAATTTTTTCGGTAAAGTCACGTAGGTAAAAATTTTAACTAAATTTAATGAAATCACGACGTTTCGGAAGCAACACAAGCCTCCGTCAGACGAAGATCCTAGATTTGAAGTTTTCATGACTGCAAGGATTTTTTTCGGTAAAGTCACGTAGGTCAAAATTTTAACTAAATTTAATTAAATCACGAGGTTTCGGAAGCAACACAAGCCTCCGTCAGACGAAGATCCTAGATTTGAAGTTTTCATGACTGCAAGGATTTTTTTCGGTAAAGTCACGTAGGTAAAAATTTTAACTAAATTTAATGAAATCACGACGTTTCGGAAGCAACAGAAGCCTCCGTCAGACGAAGATCCTAGATTTGAAGTTTTCATGACTGCAAGGATTTTTTTCGGTAAAGTCACGTAGGTAAAATTTTTAACTAAATTTAATTAAATCACGACGTTTCGGAAGCAACACAAGCCTCCGTCAGACGAAGATCCTAGATTTGAAGTTTTCATGACTGCAAGGAATTTTTTCGGTAAAGTCACGTAGGTAAAAATTTTAACTAAATTTAATGAAATCACGACGTTTCGGAAGCAACAGAAGCCTCCGTCAGACGAAGATCCTAGATTTGAAGTTTTCATGACTGCAAGGATTTTTTTCGGTAAAGTCACGTAGGTAAAAATTTTAACTAAATTTAATGAAATCACGACGTTTCGGAAGCAACACAAGCCTCCATCAGACGAAGATCCTAGATTTGAAGTTTTCATGACTGCAAGGAATTTTTTCGGTAAAGTCACGTAGGTAAAAATTTTAACTACATTTAATGAAATCACGACGTTTCGGAAGCAACAGAAGCCTCCGTCAGACGAAGATCTCCTCGCGTGGCCTTCAGCAGGCTCTTGGGGCAAGTGGTGTCAGCGAGGCCTCTCTCGTTAGTGCCGATGTTTGCACGCCACGCCAGGCACTGATTTAAGGCTGAGCGGAGCTATCGGACACCCAGGACTGGTTCAGATATTCGCCACTGATGCTGGCCGAGGATGGAACTCAAGTCGCCGGGTTTGCAGCGCAGTTCACCATCCCGCTCACACACTCGCACAGACTTGGGTGGCAAGCACCATGCCCGTTCCACCTTTGTCTCTCCAGTGGTGATGTTTCACACCATACCAAGTACTCGTTTGAGGTTGAGTCAACTTAGGGGAGGCCCAGAACAGGTTCAAATAATAGTCACTGGTGTTGGCCGTGAGCAGTAATTTAACTCGGGACTCCGGGTTCATAGCAAGCGCGCTAACCACTGCACTACTGCTTCCCCCCCCACACACACGTATGCTCAAACCTCATTACTACTCAGAATTTTTGGAGCAATTGTTAGTTTTGGTCAATTTGGCCCAGATAATTATTTGACTCCATAATCACATCTCCCTGAACGTGCCCATTCTCACCAGATCTTGGGAACTAAGCAAAGTTGAGCCTGGTTAGTAAATGGATGGGAAGCTGCATGGGAATACCAAGTGTTGCGTGCTTGGGCTACGAGTTGTCCAGGAGACTGCAGTAGAGACATTGATGATTTTGATTCATCTGTGCGCAGCTCTGAGCATTACCCCCTCATGGGAGCGGGGTTTCTCTGGGTGCGCTGGTACTCGCCAAACACTCAATGCAGGATGGTCGTGAAATAATCCGAGGCCGAGTAAGATTTGTTGGATAAATAACAACATTTTTAGAAGTTTAGCATTCTTATTTTTACCAAACGTCTTCCCACCCCAGCAACGCAAATACATTACTGTTGACAGTAATTTAATAATAGCAGGCACAGCAGCAATTATATCCGACAACTGTTGGCAATATACAGGGTGCAATGTATGTACACAAATAGAAATTTTAACTAGTAGGAAAATTACAACCTAAACGCGTTTAATATGTTGTCGTGTATTGTTCCAAAACTGCTCAAACTCTTGGCTCCACAATGAACTACACACAACCATGCGCAGACATCATCACGGACATCAGAGACAACGTTCACAGACATGACAGACTGACATCACAGACACTCAACACGGACACACATCATGGACAGACATCGCAGGCAGACATCGTGGACATCACAGACAGACAAAACAGACAGCGCACAGCTGAACTCCCCACCGATCGGCGCCTGTACCTGTTAAGGAGATGCACACCACAAAAAAGTCAAAGATGTCCCACGGCTGGCGGAAGTAGTGGATTCGATTCCCCAGGATCTTCAGCGCAGCCTCCAGCATGAAGAGGACGGTGAAGACCAGGTTGATGATCTTGGTAATGTTGGTGAAGCTTTCGCTCTGGTTGTAGTGCTCTGAAGCGAGCAGCACCATGTTGAGGGAGATGACGGCAGTGGAGATGTACTCGAAGAGCCGGCGGTGCACCAGCACGTAGAAGAACCTCAGGACACGGTTCTGAAAGCGGAGTCGCGGCGGAACCACGATGAGCCCCTCTCCGATGAGCGCGGTTGGCTACGAACGGCGCCGACGAATTTCGACGCGCGCACGTACACCACCATCACCACGTCGTCCCGCGACGAACGGCACGCTGCTGCTCGCGTGCCACTCGATCGAGCGACCGATATTTACGGAGCTCGGTTCGCATCGAAATCGGCATCTCGGAGAGCTTCACGTAACGCTTAACTTATAACTGAAAGCCGGAAACCTTAGCAGCTACACTTCTCAGGTAACAAAGCGAGGTAACCTAGACTGAGTCATTAAAAACTGAACAAACGCTTCTGTTGTGTTGAAATCCAACGACTAACCTCGAGGAATAAGAGTAACAGTAGGCACTCATCTCGACGCACGCTATATTTTGCTGCTACGAATTTCCACACGATGAGCCACTTCGTTGAGCTGTCATTTGTGGCCAGGTCGTTTCTGGAACAGCGCTGTATAGCTCAGTGGGCCTTACCTTGTAACATAAACATAGTTTAGTTTTATTTGTATAAATATGTTTTGTTTACCTTTCGTATACTTTGCACTCCTATCGTGTTTTTGTATTGCTGACCCGCCCCTGCTGGACATCTGTGGGCAAAGAGCTTTATAGCCCATCGGATTCCTCCTCCAGTAATAAATAAATATTCTGATTATGATGCTTGCATGATGTCGCAGGCGCGCTGCGGAGCAGTGGCAGGACCCCTCATGTCGTCAGCTCTCGGCTCGCATCGCTCCATGGGACTCGCGTTGACATCTTTAGCACCTTAGACACGCGTCTTGCAGTAACCCTTTGCCGATGCAATTTAATTAACTAGAAATAAACATTCCTATATCACGAAACTGTCTCTCCATGAGGATACCTCAGTATTGGGATGAATTTAGCGTTCAAAAAAGGTAGCTTCCTATTTTTGTGATTTTTTTAATTGCCAATTTTCAGATACCTTTGGGGAATTTTGGCTCATTTTCAATGGGTAACGGTGTGCGATGTCTTCGTGCCAGCAACAGTAACGTCACGTGATGCCACACGACACTACTTTTGGTGGGGAAAAAGCATAAGTGACGTCATATCCACGATGACACCTCTGGTTTCAAATAAGTAAAAAAAAAGGATATTCTCTGAACGTCCAGAATTTCGTATCAAGGGGATCATTTTAGAATTTTCCTCTTTAATCTAAGAACTCGAGCACACCCCCTGCGATATAGTGGTATCTATACTACTGGACTTCTGTGAACACCTGGACATATGAAAAAGAGCTTTATAGCTTATCGGATTCTTCCAGTCTAAATACAGATTCTGATTATAGCAGTTTTCAGCTCCATACCAATCCACCAGCGAAGGCCTCCCACATGCCTTTTTGGTCAACGAGATTGTTTAGTCATACTTCAGCACACAGGACAGTGTTGGCTGGCGAAGTGAGGGTGGTGACAGCGTCAGTTAAGATATCACTCGCCCCTGATGCGGGCAATGGTTGGGTATCGCATTTAGGTCTCTGAGTTCGAATCGCAGTACGCTAAAGCCACCATGCCAAGCCCTGCAGCCCACTGGTTTTTTAAATCCTTTATATTAAGTTCACTTGCTTGCGCGCTTACGACCGTGCAAATCTTTCGGTCGTTTTTAAACCCACTTGCCGTGATCCAATCGAGCTGACATTTTGCACACAGACTCGTTGTGCGTGACAATTTATTTTCGTGAAAATTTTTTCTCCAAAATTTTACACTTTTTAGGAAAAAATAAATTATATTTAATTACCAATTGCTTAATGGTGGCAGGCAATTATCTGACCCATAGGTGGCAGCCATCTCAAGCTAGAGGACGAGAGTACTCTAGCCGCCACGCATATAAAGGATTTATAGTGACAAACTTTGTTTTTACGGGTTAATTTTTTATGCACTCGGTTTAGCGTGCCGCATGAGCGTGGAGAACCTGGGGCTGCGGGATGCTCTTGGAAGGCTTGCTCCTGTACAGCCGTCGCATGGTTTTGTAGAACTTCTGCTGATCTTCTGTCAGGAGTGCCATCAGCGCACCTTCCTTGTGAGACTGAAACAATCGCGATGGACAGTGACCAGGCACGGCTTGAGGATGCAAATATACGAGCGTGGGACGACACATCGATTAAATCATCGATTAAGGTCGATTCTTAAGGCGCAGGGTGCATTGCATCGGATTGCGCGTGTGTAAGCTCCGACATTTTTACGCGAGCATCGGCTCGTGGAGCAAACGGAATCGTGCGAAACGAGGCGGACCAAAAATTGAGAATGCAAACACGGCGGTGAAAGCGAGGCAAGTGTCCATTGTTTCATCTTCTTGGTTCTTTCGGTAAAGTCACGTAGAAGGGAAATAATAAAATAATAAAAGTAAAACATAATAAAATAAAAAATAAAATTCTCATGACGTTTCGGCCACTACGCAAGCAGCTGTCCTCAGGTGAAGAACAGAGCTGTCAGAAAGACACAGCCCTGTCCTTCACCTGAGGACGGGTACTTGCGTTGTGACCGAAACGTCGTGAGAATTGTATTTTATTATGTTTTATTGTTTTATTATTTTATTATTTCCCTTCTACGTGACTTTACCGAAAGAAACAAGAAGATGAATCCCTGCAGTCACGAAAGCTTTAAATCGAAATTTGTCCATAGTTTGCTTGCACCGGGGCCCGTATCGTGAGAATCCGCTGATTCGCTGACGGAGTGAATTCTCAACACCTCAATAAAAACGCGGACTAAAATGAAATCACGCCGGTCAGGCTGGCTCCTCAAAAAGCTACCGCTACACGGAGCAGCGCGAAGGATTTTTATTTTTATATTTTGGTGTGTGCGCCACAGAAAGTGCGATGAAAATGACCGCATTTGCTCTCTTGCTCACCTCACTTCCCCCCGTGCCCCACTTCCCCAGGCAACCCTTTAATAAAATAACTTGCTGCAAACACATTCTGAAATAAGGTTCTCAAAACAAAATAATTTCTTCCTACGACCGTCTGAAACAAACAGCCCGCCCGCCCCCCGCCTCCACCCCCCGCTATGACAGCGTATAATGTAATGGAAGTGAATCGATTTGCTGCATTAACAATGTTTTGGGTTGGCGTGTGGATTAATCACCGGAGGGAACAAAGAGGTCATTTTTGGGCGATTGCCTCACTCGAAGCGAATGCAATCAGAGGGCTTACCCTCTTGTGCACGGAGTTAAAGTTGTCGATGACAACTCCGATGAAGAGGTTGAGGATGAAGAACGATCCGATGATTACGAATATGATGAAGAACATCTGGGAGTAGATGTTGGCATTGTAGGATGGTTGTTGATCGACCTGCAATTCAAACATTGACTCGTTCACTTTCATAGTCCATTACCTGCTCTTGGCATCACCGCCTTGATTGAACGATGTAGACTTGATTACCGAGTCTGAGGTCACTGTTCAGTAGCACTCGCTCCAGTTTACTCTCCCCAGTGTTTAACTTTCGAGATAATTACATGCAGGCACGCTTGGCTCAGGTCAGAATGAGGTCACTTATCAGCGGCGCGCGTGCAGACGCCGTCGCCTCGTGTCGGTGTCACGTGCCATTTGCAGCGCAAATAACCCCAGCGCTGTTGCGCGAATTGAAGATGTTTTCACAATTTATTTTTTTATAATGTACCCCCCCGTCCCCCTCGCCTATTTCCCCCTATACCCTCCCTTCGCCCACCCAAGCGAGTTTCGCAGATATTAAACAAGAACAAACAACAACCAAAAAACACGCGCAGTGGCAAGGAAGAAGATGCTTCGGTCGTGAGCGTGGGGAGGCCGGGTGGTGTCTGCATGTGCGCGAGTGAGTGCGCGTGTGGGGCACTTGAGCTTTGGCACAGCACATTCAGGCAAAGAAACCGTTCCCTGCGCTCGAGTGCTTTTATCTTTCCGCGAGCACTTGCAGCAGCACCGTCGGCTCGGGGTTGAGTTGACCCGAGGGTAGTCCTCAGGGAGAGTACCCACTGCAGGTTGAGTCGACCTGACAGGAGGTTCCTTGTCGGAGACAATAGTTTTGGGCCTAGTCGACCTAGAAGGTGGCCCCCTCTTACTGCACGGTGACACTGGAATGGAACTCCGGTCAAGTCGCGGTCGTGTTGTGTAACTAGGATGTGGTGTTTCATTACCCGGTATATTTATTTGTCCGTTGGAAATGAATGCACAAATTGCAGCACTAAAAACGAAATTAGAATGAGGCATGCGCTTGGCAATGGGCTTACCCCCGTCGAATCCGAGGCGTCCGCCATCTGTTCAATCCATCCTTCGAGCGTGGCCTGTCAAAGCATTAACACGACACTCAGAGAAAAGTTCTGCTGCGTACATGGCCATCATCTCTCTCTCTCTCCTCACCTGAAGCAACTGAACTATGGCAGAATAAGTCAGGAGCAGTATAGTCATCTCTCTTTATACGGCAACTTCATGGAATGTCGATGCAACATAACTTATACATTAAGGGGACAAATTCGATATAAAGTACATTAAATTTGCATTTCTGAAATTTTGAATCCCTAAACTATTTATTTGCGCTTGATGCGGCTCTATGTGGTTTTTGTGTTTTTCACACTGTACTGGTTTCCCGTGACTTATTTTGATTAACTATGTAACGGGCATCAATGGGAAAATAGGGTGAGATCTACGGATTTCCTCTAAGCGGTCAACTTTTCAGGAACGTATCCGTTCTGTATATTGAGGAATGCCTGTAGCAGCCTTTATATTTTATTTGATATAAATTATAAATTAACAAAAATGCACTACATGAGTGACCTGAAACCTGATGAGGCTTAAAAGATGGAACATTAGCAAAATATAAATGTTGAGGAAAATAATTGGTTATCTAGTTGGATTACATAAATATCAATCCAAATACTAGTATTTGGTTTAACACGTAGGCTTTCGCGACCAATATTATTCATAATCAACGTTTTTGGGTTTAGATCGCGTTATTTATAAATGTGTCGTACCCCTCCACCACCCGACACGGCCAATCAGTAAAAAAGTGTCACGTTGACAAAAGACAAATAGTTCACTACTTTAGCCCAGAATTCTGGCGAATTGCCCGATGATGCTGGATGCAATTACAAGCGAAACGTCGTACAACTCAAATTGTAAATGTTGTGGTTTCACGCTTCAACACACCGGTGGGCTAAAGCAGTGAACTATTTGTCTTTTGTCAACGTGACACTTTTTTACTAGTATTTAAACAATTTTTTTTACAATTTTATTTTGTCCTGAAATCTAACTCAAAACACAATTATGAATCACGCTATTGGTCGTAAACACCTCCGAGTTTAAGTAAATAAAGAATGGTCATTGTTTTTAATCTCAGGTCAAAGGTCACAGGTTGCACATTATTCATCATCCATAATATTATCCGCCTGAAGATGCTAGTTATAATTACCAGCGAAACGTCGTACTTAGATTGTAAATGTTGTGAATTTGCTCTCCAACACTAGTAACGAATTGGCACGTTGTTTACATGACAAACCTTACTAGTTGGCTGTGTCGGGTGGTGGCGGGTTTAATAACACATTTATATTTACGCGATCTAACCCAAAAAAAACTATATTATGGATGATATAGGTCACGAAAGTCTACGTTTCGATTTAAAGCTTTCGTGACTGCAGGGATTCATCTTCTTGGTTCTTTCGGTAAAGTCACGTAGAATGGAAATAATAAAATAATAAAAAATAAAACCTAATAAAATAATTCTCACGACGTTTCGGCCACAACGCAAGCAGCCGTCCTCAGGTGAAGAACAGGTCTGTCGAGAAGACAGAGTCTGACAGACCTGTTCTTCACCTGAGGACGGCTGCTTGCGTTGTGGCCGAAACGTCATGAGAATAATTTTATTATGTTTTATTTTTATTATTTTATTATTTCCATTCTACGTGACTTTACCGAAAGAACCAAGAAGATGAAAGCCTACGTGTTAAACTGAATAATGCATCATCACTGCTATAGTTTCCTGGTTCATAACTCATCATCAACGCCACCACGACTCAACTTCAACACTATGGGTGCCCGGTTCCTCCTGGTCAGAGTGAACCAATTCTTGACTCTGCGACGAGAATTTAATTCAAGCAAGTACTGCAACCAACTTAGCGGCTCCCAGCCGGACAGATCAAGTTAGTTTTTTCACACCGCAAAGCAAACCAAATGTGTCCAGCCACACTGCGAACATTTTTGCTCGAGGACAGACTCTTTGGACATGAATCCCTCTTCGGCTGTCAAAACGACAAAGAAGCCAGCGCTGGCGGTGGGGGGGGGGGGGGGGGGGGGGCAACTCCCTGCTGCCGCTGCCACCTTTACCACTTGCAGGAGAGCCAGGTAAGCAGAGAGGATGTTGTCGTAGTTGATGATGGCGTTGACCCAAAGGTAGCCCTCGTTCGCGAGGCTCTCGCACACCGTGCGGTTCGCGACCTCCGTGGCTGGCAGGCGATTGCCCTCGACGTCGATGCAGCGGAAGAACTTCCCTCCGAAGAGCTGCACCCCGGCGATGCCGAACACCATCCAGAAGAGCAGGCACATCAGCATGACGTTGGAGATGGACGGGATGGAGGTCACCAGAGCGTTCACCACCAACTGCACGCGGGGAAAGAGACTTGTGAAAAGAAAAAACGTGAAGGGAGATGATAGCGAACAACGACGCCGTCTGCGATAATAGTTCTGCTCATTGTATGGCGGCTGCCGCTGCTGCTGCCGCTCACTGCCTGCTGCAGCTACGTCTTGTTTTCATACTTCATGCGTGTGGGAAGAAAAAGGCTAGATTGGTAAATGGTACTTTTGACCGGTTATAAAAACATTCCAATGTGCGATCCCTTTAAAGTGTTTTTATGGGTAAATTTGAAAGACACAAAAGATAAAAAGGCCGGAGTGTACGTGCATATTTGCTTTGAGGGCTCTTGAATATCAACGGCAATTATCAGCAAATGGCAATTTAAACAAAAATTACATCAATAGCCAAAGACTGCAAAGGGGAGTGTGACCAATGGCTTGTGAAAGTCGCTTATCGCTTCCTTTTACTGGTTACAGTGCCACCTCAAGTCAAAATAAATTCCTGCAGTGATGTGCCATCTTTCTCTCAAGTAGTACGAAAATGCCGCGGTGGCGCCACCGTGGCGAGCTGTAAACTCCCTCGCCTGGAATGCCGGAGACCATGGGTTCAACCCTGACGCCTGCTGTAGATTTGGTGTTTGCATGTTCTCATTTAGAAACATGCGTTTAGCATGGTTGGCTAGGTACGGTGCGAAAGAAGTTCAACCATACATTTGGCTGATTTAAATTTCCACGTGATAAGCCACTTCGTTGAGCTATCATTTGTGTTCAGTTTGCTTCTGAAAAGAACTCTTTAGCGCAGTGGGCCTTACCTGCTATAATAAAATTAGTTAATGGTTAGTTAAAACAAGAATGCTAAAATGATCATTGCCAATTGTTTTGAAATGTGCTATCGGTGTCCTGCAATGAGACCAAGGGTCCATTCAGAACTCTGGTACAGCAGTGCACCACCTTGTGTTAGGGAATTGCCTGCCGAAGCAGGTATCACTGCAGTCCTTCTGAGATCCATTTAAATGATCTCTGATCTACACGCTGCTATCAAGATGTCCGTCCCATGACAGCCAATTTGAAATATTCATCCATGACAACAAGGGTGTGGCACAACAGCATTGTCATGCCTCGATTTATAGCTTTCGTGACTGCAGGGATTCATCTTCTTGGTTCTTTCGGTAAAGTCACGTAGAAGGGAAATAATAAATAAAGCATAATAAAATCCAATTGTATTTTATTGTTTTATTTTTATTCTTTTATTATTTCCCTTCTACGTGACTTTACCGAAAGAACCAAGAAGATTGTCATGCCTGTTCATATTTACATCTACCAGACTTTTGTTGACATAATTCCATTTGTTTGTTATTATTATTCACAGAACTGTGAAAATGAAAAACCAAATTTAACGTGGTCGGTTGTTTGTGTGTGCTGTCCGGGGAAATTAAATGCACTTGCAAATCCGATTTTACTTAGCAGTGGCTGAAACCCAAATATTAACCCAGACCTCTCAGCAGTGCTGGCTCAGAGTTCTGTGCCATGAGATATATTGGCAGCCTCAGAAACATACTTGTTGCAGGCTGATGTGGAGCATTATGGGTAAGAAAATACATCAATAAAGTTGGATCCATTATTTCTCTATGTAAAAATGCGCTCATCTGGTAGACTGTGGACCCTCTACACCATTATTATCCAACAGCATTTGATAATAACACAAGCAACGTCTGGACCAGTGTCAACTTCATGGGTCTCATCAGCAGAGTCATGCTTGCCAAACAAATACTGCATGATTTATCGAATGCTCTTGCCAATTACATCATGTGGAAGTCAGAAATAAAAAAGATAATTTCCAAAGTCCTCTACAGTCTCGCATTTCACTAATACCATAATTCTACATGCAATCACAATCCAATCCAATACAATGAGGATTTAAGAGGCATCCAAGCGTGACCGCAAGTCAATAAGGCTGCACAGAAACAATGGGAACATTTATTTTACAGAGAGAGAAGAGGTTCTAGATTTGAAGATTTCGTGACTGCAAGGATTCATACTCTTAGTTCTTTCGGTAAAGTCACGTAGGTAAAAAATGAAATAAAAAATAATTTATTAATTTTAGATTTGAAGCTTTTGTGACTGCAAGGATTCATACTCTTAGTTATTTCGGTAAAGTCACGTAGGTAAAAAATGAAATAAAAATTAATTTATTAATTTTAATTTATTAATTTTAATTTCATTTTTTACCTACGTGACTTTACCGAAAGAACTAAGAGTATATATAGAGAAGAGGTTGTCCGTTATGGGCAGAGTACGAAAAACAGGAAATCTATAAACCTGTATTTCTACAGCACGGACAGCTGGGGGGGGGGGGGGGGGAGGGCCTTACCCTCATGCCCTTCCACCGGGAGATGGCTCGGAGGGGCCTCAAGGCCCTGAGTGTGCGCAGGGACCTCAGCGACTTGAGGGCAGGCACCGCACTCGCCAGCTGATTCAACCATGACACCTGGTGGGAGCAGGCACCCAATGGTTCAAACTCAACGGCCACGTTGGACAATCCCTCTCAAAAAGCCACCACTCGTACACTTGAAGTGTAGTCCGTGTAGAGCCCTTTGTCAATTCGCTGCTGGACGAAAGCCCCCCTCGCAGCAGAATCATCTTTATTTAGACTGGAGGAATTCGATAAGCTACGAAGCACAAATTTCGATTTAAAGATTTCGTGACTGCAGGGATTCATCTTCTTGGTTCTTTCGGTAAAGTCACGTAGAAGGGAAGTAATAAAATAATAAAAATAAAACATAATGAAATAATTCTCACGACGTTTCGGCTGCTTGCGTTGTGGCCGAAACGTCGTGAGAATTATTTCATTATGTTTTATTTTTATTATTTTATTACTTCCCTTCTACGTGACTTGACCGAAAGAACCAAGAAGATGAACTACGAAGCACAGCGTGCAAGTCAAGTGGGTTATTTGATCATACATCGTCACGCTGGCCAGTGTGGGTTGAAAGCGGGGAGCATAGACGCAAGAGCATACAATGATGGATTTTGTGGCACCTGTCCATCACGTAACCCGAAGGTATTGTATGTGCTTACACGTATTACATAGCCATCTGTCCAATAAATAAAGTGCGTGTGAGGTATTTTAGCCAGAGGCAGGCATCGCGTAACACGTATTTTTAAATGGCGAGCACATTTTTTTCATTGAAGCTCGCAGTCACATCATGATACTCGTCAACTGGCATTGCAACTAAACTCCTTCACATTTGCTTCCCTGCAGGACAGATAACATATTGGAGGGTTTAGGGACTGTCCTGCGAAGTTTTCTAGGCCGGTTTATAGTTTATGTATGTGTAGTGACTGACTCGGAGACACTAACGAGTTGGAGGCACTCTGTTTATTAACACGGCCTAACGAGTCAACACTTCCAATATTTTGTTGATACCAGACTACGGTTCCCAGTCAGGACAGCTGGTAGACTGCCTGACTGGCGACGCCGAGCTGGTGAGGACAGAGACGGCGAGAGAAGAACGGCGAAGACTTCAGCAGCAGCACGACGGTGATCCCCCCACTCCACACGGCAGCCCCGAGCTCCCCTCCAGGGGCCCCTCTTTTACTGTCAGCGTGGCCTGGCTCCGCCCCCGGCCACGCCCCCTTTCTGGAACCTACCAGCGGGTTCCTCGTGTGCCCCTTCCGTCACCTTTCCCCTGGATCCCTCTCTGGTGTATCACGTGGCCTGTTGTCAGTCAGCGCTGCTGTAAGCTGCAGATCCCCTTCCCCGCCAGCAGCCAGCGCTATGCTGCTACGTGACCAATTCTATGTCACTACATTTGTATGTTGAACTTCTTTCGCACCGTACGTAGCCAACCATGCTAATTGGAGTTAAGGAAGAAGGACAACAAACTTGACACAACCAACAGTTCTAAAGAAATGAGTCATCGATAGTGTATAATCCTATGGTCAATATCACAAGGTGGCTAAAACTGGCGGCTGTGTATATATTTCAGAAGCGAGTCGTAAATGTTGAAGGCAATTGCCACGCTTCAGTTTATGAAACCCTACGTCACGCTCTAAGCCATTGAGAGGAAATAGCAGGGGGGGGACACTTGCCAAGACTAAGAAGCAGTCAAGTAGAGTCCAGAAGCTGGTGAAGTACTTGTGGAGGCCGAGGCCTATCATCTTGAGGAACATTTCCATGGAGAAAAACGCCATGTAGAAGAGATCCATGTAGCGGAGCACCTGCATAAGCTGCGCGTTGCTGCTGTTGTACTTGTCGTCCAGCGTCTGCACGAGAGAGCAAAGGCGTGGTGGCGGTCGCGTCAAACGCACGCGGTGAAGGATGGGACGAGACATTCGCAACCACACCAGCGCCAACGCAATTAAATAATTGTCCCGTGCTCGCTGAGCTGCAATGGCTTCCAGTTGCTGAATGAATACATTATAAGGTCGCACTCATTACACACACAATGCTTGCCACAAGTCAACCACAAAACCTTCCTGATCTCATCAGGAAGCATAAACTATCACGTGAACTCTGGCCATCCTCGCAACGGCTTTTGGCCACCCATCAAACAAAGACGGTCACCGCATCACGTGTGTTCAGATGCGCTTCTGCGGCCATCTGGAACGCTCTTCCTTTCGATATCAGGAAGCTGCCCCAGCTATGCACTCTTAAATTTAAATTGATAACTAATTTCTTTCAAACTTCTTTATTGTGTTTGTTTTCGTGTCCTTCCCCACACCTCCCATTAGCACGGTTGACTACATACCATGCGAAAGAAGTTAAATATAGATACATCATTACTATCATCAAACATCCATGATCTATCCACTGAATGTACGAAGGCTTCCCCCAAGCCGTTGCCATCTCTCCCGGCCTCCGTGATGCGACACTCGAATGGAATCGGCTCGAGCGCAGAATCTGCGCTGACTTGGTACATCGCAGGACCATCAGAGGTGATGAAAGGCTTCAGGAGGCCTTCATCCGATAGCACTTAGATCATGACTGATGCTAATGTATGTAAGTATACAATACATTCCTATAAGTATTATTCTAGCATATGCATGTTTGGTAAAGCCAGACTACATTGTCATTGTCTGCAGTGTTAAGTGCTCTTAGTCCCCCAGTCAACTCAGATGACAAATCCTCCTGCTCCACCGTATGCCTCACAGTCCGCACTTGTTCGACACATTTATTATTTGGGCTTCCCCCGGATTGCCCGTCTGGCCCTGTTGGCCACGCAACGCCCTTGTCCAGTTCCAACATGTTTCAGAGGAACCCATGCATGGCGAGGGTGCAGTTTGAAACCTGGTTGATGGGTGGTGGGGCCACTCAATGTGTAGGTTTGGCGGTTGGGGTTGGCACCGGGAGCCTCCTTGTCAAGCCTATCCAGTGAAACATCCTTGCGAGGACATCCACGGTTGTGCAGCCAAGGTCGGCGAGCGCACAAGGTGATTGGGCTACGCCAGCGGAATGCACCGGCACAAGATGACCATGCGGGTGGGGTGGTTGACACTAAAATTGTTCGTAACTGTCGACGAGAACTACTGTGAACTATTCCGGGGTGGAAGCTCAGACCACAGTGGGTGTCATGAAAACGGTCATGGATCGAGTGCTACTCACCAACGTGAAGCTGCTCAAGATGACCATGAAGAGCACTATCCCATTGAAGCCCGTCGTTTGGCAGAGGCGAAACACCATGCGCCTCACCGCGTTGAATGCTCCCACGCACCCACCACAGCACCCTGGGCCACTTCCCTCCCGGCCTCCGTCGCCGCCCTGCCGCCCCGTGCTCGCCTCCCCACCCGAGGGCTCTTCCCCGTGCCGACCTCGTCCTTCTCCATCGTCGCTGCCTACTGCTCGCTCCACGTCGGAGTCGCGACGTCGCTGGCGGTGGCAGAAGCAAATGCAGCTGGCGGAGAAACAGGGCGGCACCTGGACGCGCTGCTCCGGGCCCTCGGCCTGCTGGTGTTCCGCGTCGGACTCGTCCTCAGAGTCGTCCTCGCTCCACGACTTGGACTCTTGGCTGTGGGCGCTGCTGCGGACCGAGCCTCCCTCCAGCTTGGCCGGCTTTGGGTAAAGAGAGACGGGAAGGTCGAGAGCATGGGTGGCTGGTCGGCATGGCAATGCGAAAGCAAAGCGTCGAGAATGGCAGAATTAACTTTTTTTTTTAATCGTGGGACCGCACGGAGATATTTAATTTATAACAAAAATTGGATGAGTCTCTGTTTGTGAAAGTCAATAACACGCTCAGCTTGGTTGTATTACTTGTGATTATTTATTTCTCATTTTGTCACACATGGGCCAAGCAGGATTATTTCCTTGCTGGTAAGCTCCTCGAGTTGGGCCAGCAAACACAACGCGAGTGTTGCTTCGCTGGCCAAAAATCTGTTGCATAGTACTGTATGATAATAAACTAGGAGTGTAATGATGTAGCGGCCTCTATGTGCCTGTCGGGGTCATGTGAATGCCTTGCATGCAACACGTACATTGTTTAATTAAAACATCGATTCTTACACACACTATCGCAAGCACATATTGTGAGCTTCAGAATCAATGTTAATCAATGGATCAATGCATCTCTATACTGTACCTCTAGTTCTTCAATAGTCACGAAAAACAAGGGTGTTAACATTCCATAGGCCACATTCCAAAGGCAAAGATGGGCTGTATTTCAAAAGCGTATTTTGGCCACTTCTACCCACAACATCAGTGCCGCAAAGTACGGACATTTTGATCTGGTCCCTTCATACAATGGAACCAAAGGTCGACGCATTGCATTCACTTCGAGTAGGAAACCGTCTCTAACAATAATTATTTCAAAATGATTCTATGATTTTAGATTTGTGGGTTTTTGAAGGACAATTTCGGATTTTCGCATTCTTGAAAATAATATCAAATGTAGCGTGTCTTCGTGACAAGTGAAATCACACAACGGCCACGTGCCACCACCTTTGGTGACAGTAACACGTATGTAAGTGACGTCACTTCCTGTGTCATCATACTTTCGGATGAATCAGATGAAAACTAATTTGGATAATCTTAATTTTTGTACCTCGGCTCCATTTTTTGATATTTCTCTTTATCCAGATTAACCTAAAAATCAGGAACTGCACCCCTAATCTTTAGCATTCCAATGGACGGTAATTTAGCCAAGGCAGCAGACGATATCACTTTCGCTTGTGCGGTGAGTTTCGCGACTTACGTCAAGGATGACAGAGTTGTTTTTGAGGCTCGCGGTTCCCCCCGCCGTGGTGGAACTGTGCAGGAGGTCGTTCAGACGCTGCCAGGAGTTCCTCACTTCGGGGCTCACATCGTCGGACGTGGGCGTCCTCGCCAGGTGAGCCAAGGGCTTTGCCGGAGCGATGTAAATGTAATCCTGGGTAGCTGCACGCCACCACGGTGATGTCATGCAGAGGGACATGTCATCACAATTTAGTCAATCGCCCTATTATCAGAGTGCAACAGCTACCAGCGATGTCCGCCGGTAATGGGCGATGTTGCTCTGTGATTTCTACCCAATCAGATTAAATCGCAAGTAATTTTACGAATTTTGACCCTGACAGTGGCAAATATGAGTCTTTTTTTGTTCGCATAAAAGTCACCGGATCTTTAATGTCCACTTTGAAGCAGACACTGCACCAGGAGTTTTATGGTCAATACACCGGCATTATTAACCAGGGCGGTCACTAAGCTCGACACAGAAACTTCTGCAACAAGCGGCAAACGCGGTCCCACTCGGCCCTGTCGCCGCCCCGTGGTGTGGAGAATCAGCAATTCCATGTGGGCAAGACAAACAACGACGAGGTCCTAGATACTACAATACAGCCGTGTTATTCCATTGCCTCCTCAACCTGGAGCCACCAAGTCAAGTGTGTGGTGAGAACTCACGAGGCCAGGATGAGTCTCAAGAGTGGCCTGGGGCAAAAGAACGGCAATAAGGCAAAAATAAATCTGAGCAAGAAGAACTGCGTTCCTGGAGAAATCGAAACTACTGCACGAACACAAATCGATATTAGAGACGATAATTTTTCCTTGAAATGAAAGTTGGCGCAGACAAGTTACACTTTAAAAACCGTTCAAAGTACACTGGTTCGTGTGTGTACGTTTGTAAGTTGAACTTCATTCTCACCGAAAGTAGCCAACCGTGCTAATCGGAGGTGCAGGAGAAAGACAATAAACTATGGGTCTCTGCGCGAGTCTATGTATGTATGTATATTGAACATCTTTTTCACCGTACGTAGCCAACCGTGCTAATTGGTGACAACAAACTAAACACAGTGTGTACAGCGCGCCGCGCACCCTGCACGCTGGCCACGCTGCTGCGATGCAGGTTAAGGTAGGTGCCAACGTCCATGTCGAGCCGAGCGTGCTCGCCACGACGCGAGGCGGCCTCCATCTTCCTGCGCCTGAAGCGCGAGGGCTTCGTCGAGATGTGGAACGTGCGCCGCGGCTTGAACCCCGTCAGGAAGTGCTTCACGCTCGCCGACTTCGCCGTCTGCTCGCCGCTCGACCTCGCCTTGAGGTTGTCCCCGCCGAACGAGGCGAGCAGCAGAGCGAGGAAGAGGTTCAGCACCTGCCGGGAGACGGAGCCCGACGCGTCCCCGTTGGTGCACTTTCACGTCTCGCGAGTCCGCACAGAGGACTTTAACCCTTTCCCGTTCCAATGACGTATTCGTATGTCATCACAATGAAATTGGAATAAATGTTTTAATAAAATAACATTATCAGTTAAATTTCGATTTAAAGCTTTCGTGACTGCAGGGATTCATCTTCTTGGTTCTTTCGGTAAAGTCACGTAGAATTGAAATAATAAAATAAGAACAGGTCTGTCGACAGACCTGTTCTCCACCTGAGGACGGATACTTGCGTTGTGGCCGAAACGTCGTGAGAATTATTTTATTATGTTTTATTTTTATTATTTTATTATTTCAATTCTACGTGACTTTACCGAAAGAACCAATGAGATGAACATTATCAGTACCGAGGCTCCCACAAGGCCATGCGGCAGGGAGCATGGCACAGTTTGTGCCAGCTATCGTAGAGTGCAGTCCTATCACTACAGCTCACTGCGGTGAGCACAATGTCTTTAAAAACAACGGTGCTATGCCTCGAAATAGAATTCGTGATGAGCCGCTTGCACGTTCCGAGATTCAGAGGTGAAGGGGACCCACCCTGTAGCTTGCAGAAGTCTCAGAACGGGAAGGGGTTGAGAATTGCCCCGCGTCATTCGCAGCAGCTTGACAATATTACGGCCAATATTTTTGTTCAAGCTTTAAAACAATCGGCGTAGATTTACATTTGTAAATACAAATAAAAATACTTTTTGTTTTCAAATCACGGTTTAGGACTTGGTATGTCAGACTGTTTCATCACGTCCGCACTCTGTGCGGCCACCACACTGCGGATATCACCTCTTTTATAAAGTTGGCCAATTCAAGAAAACGGATTGACTCAAATGATCTACCTAGCGCTGTACATTGCTACCTCTCGAACCGTGGGGGGGGGGGGGAACCCCCCAACCATTTTCACTCACCAAGAAGCCGCCGACGACGTAGGTGAGGATGAAGAGAGGGACGCAGTAATAGATGTTGGAGCACACGAGGCATTCGTAGAGCGGCTCGATCCACTCGCCGCACAGCACGCGGAACACCATGAGGAAGGAGGAGTAGAAATCCAGGAAGTTCCATCTGGGGACCTGCCCGCTGGAGAATTTGTTCTGCGTGGGACGAGATGGCAGCGGCGTCAGCGGCATCGATGCACGTCCACCGGCCTGGGGCCAGCGCTCTTCTCCTGAGTGCGGAGCGTCGCCCGCAGAGTCGCCACGTCAGCACGATACTGCGACGTGTTCGCTACGATAAGATCCCCAATAACTGGATCGCCCGTTTTCCGAAAATATCGTTACATCATGCCAATTGTTGCTTGTTTTATTGTTATTTAAATAAAACGCGTATTTCCTGACAAAATATACATGAAGCAACTAACTCAATTTTTTTATTTGTAAATAAGTAACTATTATATACAGTATGACATTTGTTTTGGATTAAATATACATGAAGCCACAAACTAAAATTTTCTATTTGTAAATAAGTAGCTATTATATATGACATTTGTTTTGGATTAATTGACAGTATGGCAATGACATTATATTATAATTTTGGTAGTTGCCATAATTGTTTAAGCTGCAATGTTTAGGAGATTTTTGGCGGGCTTATGTCGAGTGAACTGCGGTTAAATAACTTTTCCGTAATTTATATTCTTACTGGAAGTACAGCAAAGCACAAAAACAATCCAGTAAAAATGCGAATTGCAGTTTAAAAGTTGTGCGAAACTGATATACAGGAATGAGATTCATCATCATACGGATAGGAAATACGATGTCCCATCCCAGGGGTGGTTTCTTCATTAGGGCGATTGGGCGACGCACCACCAATGTCATTCAACCACAGAGTCACGCTAGCCGTCACTGTGCCTCTGGATATAGTCCAATCAGGGTCATGCTACGTTCTGTGGAGTACCGCCTCTTTTTGGGCGATTTCACTCCGGCTGAGAATCGCCCCAAGTGGTCCCATAGACTTACATTCAAAGATGTTTTTTTTCGAACGGGGGCGCTGCAATGCATTCTCTATGGCTTCCGGGAGGGCTCGCCCTAACGTGCTTACGTCATCATACGTGCTTACGTCATCATACGTGCTTACGTCATCATGCGTAAGCACGTTTCATCCAACAATATAATTTGTCGCCACCTAGTGGAATCTTTAATAAAAGAAACTTGAGTGGTTTGTTTTAATAGTGAGTATAGAAACAAACAAGATGTATTGTAAGAGTCACTTTATTTTTCATTAATATTAAAGAAGTGAAGTTGCCTTTACATGCTTAAGCTGTTCATTTATCCATTGCATGGGTGGACCTTATCCTTATCAATCATCCAGACATTTGCCCCCCCTGAGAGATTTTGCAGGAGCCGCCACTGTCCTATCCATACAGCGAAATATGAAATCACGGCAATCCTCCTCACCCGGTTGGTGTAGTAGTCTCGGCCGATGAGCTGCATGCCAATGACGGCGAAGATGTAGATGACCAGGGCAAAGATGACGGTGAGGTTTCGCATCTCGCCGATGGCGCTCTTCATTACACGGATGAGGAGGTTGAGCGTCTTCCACTTCTTCGCCAGCTTGAACACTCTCAGCTGGGTTTCGAATTAAGTTCATGGTTAGGGTTACTTTTTTTTATTACGGTCGCTGAGCACATGCCCCAAAGGTCCATTAAACGACAAGTAGCCAGCAACAAACAGCGCTGATGAATGCGTCATAAATCAGGGTTAACAGGCTTCTTGAATCGAGCAGGGTGATTATGAGAGCTTGGGAGAAGAGGTGATGGCAGAGAACTCCTGAGTCGAGCAGCGCAAAGAAAGAAGCAGAGAGAGAGAGAAGAGTGTAAATCTAGACTCGGCAAAACAGTTCCCATTGCTTTAAAAAAAGAAATCCACTATAGTATCCTCCATTCAGAGCAAATTAATGAATTTGCTCTGAAAGGGAGCTCTCTCTCTCTATCTCTTTATATTATAAACAGATGTCATCCATAACTGAATTCTTCCTAGTATCCGCATTCTGCAGATACGAGGATTCACCCTTTTATCTGTGAGTCACCTGAATGTGATCGCCTAGAAATAGCAAAATAGTCATCCTCTAAACTGCATATTTTTTTACATACAAGAGGAGGCACTGGAACGTTGTGCAAAATTCATCCTATTATCAGCATTAATCAGGACGGGTAACTACACGGATATCTATCTGTATTAATGTTTGTGGAATGCTGAAAATTAGGATCTTACAATTGTACCCCACTCCCCCCAGTAAAAGCATATAAGGGGAGTTTCGTAGCACACTATGCAGCACAAGTATAGGGTTGCCATATGTCCTAGTTTTTCTGGAATTATCTTCCGTGTAAGGGAGCTGTCCTGGGAAAGCTGTAATGTTTTCCCAGGACATTAAAAGCCCCAGTTTTTCTCAGCTGCGTCGTAGTAATAATAATACACCACTTAAGAGAGCGCATATATGTATAGGTCTCCCTTCTTCCGGTCTTGTGGGATATTCTTCCTCCTGCGATAACGTCTCGCTTCTACCGTGATCTCACAGGTAGCAACCCTAACCCAGAGGTGGTGGACTCATTGCGAACGTGGCGGTACATAGCCCATACGTACAATGCGGAATGTACGGATGATGGAGATGTTGATGTTGGTGTTGCTCATGGAGTCGAGAATCCACTCCACCACGCTCGTAATCACCACGCAGAAGTCAAAGATGTTCCAGCCCAAGCGGAAGTAGACGACGGGAAAGAGAGCCGTCAACTTGAGCACTGCCTCCGCTATGAATATGGTCGTCAGCACCTGCAGAAAAAAAGTCACAATGGACTGAATTGTCAGGAATCGTACATTATGGAAAAAGCTATTACATGTTTTAAGGAAAGACATTCCGATGTTCCTAAGCCTGAGTGAAAATTGGGATTTGTCATGGAATTTAAAATGTTCTGGCCTCGTGTTCGACTCATCATACATGCACAGGTAGCACAGGGGTGGGCAGGGACCTAAGAGCAGTAAATGGGGGCCAATGTTCGAACATTGCCCCGTTTGATCATGGCCTCAAGGCTTTCACTTGGAATGATCACAATGTTTGAGATAAATCCGAACAACCATGAAAACTGTTGCTTGTGAGGACAATCAACAAAATACAATAAGTCTATCATAAGTGTATTTTTGAGCCCATCCCCTTGGCTACACATTTAAAATTCATTCAAACTCCCTCTGCCTCCCTAACAAAGACCGTTTTCTTAGCGGCCAGGGGCTGAAGCATATCATTCCTCTCCCGAGTCTCCGGCGTGCGGGGGGGGGGTGATTGGCTTCATGGCCCCCAACCCCCCTTGCGCCACCTATTCCGGGGTACCGTATTCCCGACGTCGAGGGCACTGCTGTAGGGGGCATTGTGGTAGTCGATGGCCATCATGATGGTGTTGGTGATGATGAGAATGGTGATGAATGTCTCGAAGAAGCTGGAGGTGACCAGGGTGCGCAGCCGTTGCCGGAAGGCCACGAATTCTGAGCAGCAGCGTAGCGAGTTCAGGCGGGCGACGAGTCTCTCCCGAGGGCGCCTGGCTGCGCGCACCGACAGGAGGGAGCAGGGAGGAACATGGCTGGCGATCGGTGGGCGTAGTAAGGCCAAGGAGATGTCCGGGTGGCTCAGTGGACAGAGCCTCACTGTGCTTGCACTGCTGAGACCCTGGTATTGAAGCCAGATTTCAGACACTGGGAGATAAGTGGGTTCTCAAGCGTAGTGAGTTGATGGTCTCAGCCTGGTCATTAATGACTGCACACAAAAGGAAAACGCATTTTAAAAATGATATTGTTCACTTAATTTGGATAAATTCCGGCTCAGATATTTAAAGTGATCATATTAACTGCCATGCGATGAACATTTCTCTGTAGCTGTGAGTGTGACCAGGTGTGTCCCCCTCGTGTGTGGATATAATTAAAGTGTTTTTTTAAATCTCAGAATTAGTTTCGTGAAATCGCCTTCCACATGCCATTCTATAGGGTGATGCATTGCTCCGGCATAATTCTTAATGGAAACTTCAGCTCATAACATGACACCAACAGGACAATTAGAATAAGTTGAGCCACAGTGGAAGTACGAAGCGCAGTGCTCCGTGCTCTGTATTCTTATGTTTTATCGGTAAAGTCACGTAGGTAAAAAATTGAAATTAATAAAAGTCAAATAAAAATAAAATAAAAATCACGACGTTTCGAAGGCAACACAAGCTTCCGTCTTCAGGTGGAACGGTTCCATTTCGGAGGCAACACAAGCTCCCGTCTTCAGGTGGAACCGTCACAGCACGATTGCTGTATCAAGTAAATGAGAGGGGGGGGGAATGGGCTAGGACAGCAAGCGTGCTATGACGGTTCCACCTGAAGACGGAAGCTTGTGTTGCCTCTGAAACGTCGTGATTTTTATTTTATTTTTATTTGACTTTTATTAATTTCAATTTTTTACCTACGTGACTTTACCGAAAAAACAAGAATACAGAGCACGGAGCTCTGCGCTTCGTACTTCCACTGTGGCTCAACTTATTCTAATTGTCCTGTTGGTGTCATGTTATGAGCTGAAGTTTCCATTAAGAATTATGCCGGAGCAATGCATCACCCTATAGAATGGCATGTGGAAGGCGATTTCACGAAACTAATTCTGAGATTTAAAAAAACACTTTAATTATATCCACACACGAGGGGGACACACCTGGTCACACTCACAGCTACAGAGAAATGTTCATCGCATGACAGTTAATATGATCACTTTAAATATCTGAGCCGGAATTTATCCAAATTAAGTGATCAATATCCTTGCAGTCACGAAAGCTTCCTAATCTAGAACTCCGTGCTCTGGTCATGGTGTTCCACTGCCAAGTGAGCACCCACTGAGCTGTAAGGTGGAGCCTGCGCCCAAGTGGTCGAGGCCCTGGGAGATGCTGGAGTCCGCGGAGAGGTCCCCTGGCTGCCGGGTGGACATGTGCATGTGCGCCTCCTTATTCACGCTCATGATGGCCTCCACCACCTGGAAGAGAAGCGAATTCGATCACCGTTACTCTTTCTTTTCCACCGGCACATCCGAGCCAATCCAGCGAGGAGCCCTCACGCTATGGGCAGTTTTCCACTGAATATTTACTGAGCTGAGCCAGAACCAAACTAAAAAACCGTAGCCTCACCGTACGTCTAAATGTTGTTCAGGGCCAAGTAGGACCAGGGTTAATATTTTCCGTATATGTTGCCTCAGTCCATAACATGCATGTGACGTTGGCAGCACGGCTCAGGGTCTGCGGAGACAACACATCCTGGCACGTTGTGTGCTGTACCTGGCATGCTGGCTTGGAGCAGCCCTGGCATGGCTCAGTTGTTCAGTGGAAGAGAGCCGCATAAATGTTGCTCTCAGCAAATGTGACGGAGAGGGTGTGTGACCCGGTCACGACAAGTTCTCATGTGGTGGCACACACCTATGGTTCAATGATTTGGTGATTCTACACTCACCACAATAGTTTAGACTCGTTGAGTTGACAGGAACAAAATGAACAGGATCTCCGTGTTCCAAACTCTTTATTTTACTTGCAGCAAACTGGCTGATTAAAGACGAGATTTATGTAATGATCTGTGGACATGGCAGTGGGACCAGGTGATTTGTTATTAACGTTATCAATTTAATCATTGTACCAATGAATCAACTTGCGAAGAGAGGAAATCATTACTTGCCTTCTATAAAGGTGGACACAGAATATAATTACCCCTAACTTACAAGCAAGCCTCCAAAAAACCTAACCCGAATATAAACAGCTTAGCCTGAGGATTCATCGTAAAACAGCTGAAAGTACGGTAGAACCCCTTTAAACGACGGTAATTGGTTCCACGAAACCAGTCGTCGAGTCATTTGGTCATTAAGGGAGGATAGGAAATACATGTTAGAAGCTTGATTTGTTCCGATAGCATCGAGTTACCCTTTTTCACTCAAGAAACATACTTGATAATATTTAAATGGGTATTAATACGTAAAGATACTAACAACATTATAAACACGCACATAATATTAAAAGAAACATGGTTAAGCAATGCATGAAGTTACATTAACTTTTTCTACAACAGCCCGTCGTTAACAAGGGGATGACCGGTAAGCGAACACATTGGGCTCTACGGAGGCCCATCGGTAAGTGATGAGTTGTTAACAGGGATCGTCGTTAAGCGATTAGTTGTTAACAGGGATCGTCGTTAAGGGATTAGTTGTTAACAGGAGTCGTCGTTAAGTGATTAGTTGTTCACAGGGATCGTCGTTAAGCGATTAGTTATTCACAGGAGTCGTCGTTAAGAGGGGGTTCTACTGCAGTAAGACTATGATTTCAGTTTCATTTATTTGGTATAGCCCTGTGAGCCATTCGGCTCTTGAATCGGGTGCAAAAAACATGAACAAGAAACATCTTAAGGTGATACTCTTAGGTTTTTCGGTAAAGTCACGTAGGTAAAAAATATAATTAAAAGTTAATAGACGTAATAATGGAAATAAAATAAAATAATAAATCACGACGTTTTGGAGGCAACACAAAAAGTCTCCGTCATCAGGTGGGACCGTCACAGCTAAAATTACTGCATCAATCTTAAGGTGACTACGTGCAAACAGAAAAATCCAGGAAAAACGGCATAGTGCCATCAACCTCTGGGTGCACAAACCTGTCGGTGTATTGTGTGAGCGTATCAAACTCACAACCCCAGAGCCGCAAGGTGGCCACAGGAGGTGGGAGTTGTAGCAAAGAGGTTCGTGAACCCGTCCGTGCCAGTTGACCGACTGGCCAAACAAGCCGATGCAGGACTCTCCTGAAACACCGTCTCTCGGGACTCAGTGAGACTGTTCTGGATTCATCAATGCCCTTATCGATCTGTATCACAAGATGTTTCATTCGTCTATCGGTGTGTCAGTCAATTTGTCTGTCATGGCACTTGTTGAGTTTCGTCACAGTGCATTGAGTTCAGCTTCATTCTGACCGCAGAAGAAACCAGGGACCTATGGTATTGAAGTTGAGCTACGCATAACCTTTGACCTCAGGCAATGAAACCCTGAGCAAGCAAGCAATTGCAGGGCTGCACACGTTAATCTTCTAGTTTACCCTTAGAACTACCATCACATTAGCCGCGTTGACGAGCGCAAACGCAGAGTCGCGGCGATGCGACGGGTGCGGCAGCACCTGTCTCTGCTTGCGCTCCGCCTCGGCCCGCTCCTTCTTCTCCTCGTCCAGCAGCTGCTGGTGGTGCCGCAGCTCGCGCTCATACGAGGAGGCCACCACGGCCAGCACGAGGTTGACGACGTAGTAGCCGCCCAGCATGATCACCACCATGAAGAAGCCGATGAAGTACTGCCCAGAGGCTCGCAGCACCTGTGACCGTGGAAGCCACGCGGAGAGTGGCCGGAGGTCGCAAGCTCGTTCGTACGGACTTTCGTGGGAAGTGCTGTTTCATAAACTATGATCTGTTTTTAAAATTATGAACTGCTTTTTATTTGACCGGGAAAGGCCCGCTGAGCTATATAGCTCTTTGTCAGAAGCGATCTGGCCACAAATGATAGCTCAACGAAGTGGCTTATCACGTGAAAATGTAAAGCAGCCAAATACTCTAAATGCATGTTTATAATTGTGGAAGGAAAAACCTGAGGTCCCGGGGAAAAATCCACGCGACACGAAGGAGAACATGCAAACTTCAAACATACAGCAGGCGTCAGGGTCGGGATCAACCAAACCCACGACCTACAGCATATCAGGCGAGATAGTTAACATCTTGCCACCATGGCACTCCTGCTCACCAATAACTGGTGAGCAGCTGTTAACGTTGGTAAGGTCCACATGGCAGTGGTGGGATCTGTGGTGTAGCTGTTAAGTTCAAGTTCAAGTTAATTTCTTAGGTATAGCCCTGTGAGCCATTCGGCTCTTGAATCGGGTGCAACCGCAACAAACAAAAAACAAAAACATGAACAAAAAAAACATCTTAAAGTGGCTATGTGACTGAGTGCAAACAGAAAATGCAAGAAAAGACAGCAAAATATTGCAGAAAAAAACACCGTACACCAACGCTGTGTGCAAAAATGCCAGTGGGATGCAAGTGTGCAGGTAGTGCAACTGCACCAGGGTCCATGGGTCGGAGAGGCTCGGGTGGTGGAATACGAAGAAGAGGGAAACTGGACATGGAGGTGTCCATTGTATTCTGTGCACAAAGGTCCATGCCGACCGCACTACGCCACTGGCTGGGACCAGCACTGTGCGTGTCCACATTCCTCTGCTGATGTTGACCACATCCTACTAGGTACTCATTTTATGCCGTCGACCTGTAAAAGTGTTTGGCTTAACCTGCTCAGCTTAGGGATACAATGATATTATTAAGGGATATTCGAGAACTAAATAGAACACGAAAATGTGAGAAAAATATTAATGTTATTTACCTAGACAAAGATAGATAGATGAATCCAGTTTTATGGTTAAACATTTCCACGCCGCCACATGACTTAGACAAAAGCATCCATGTTGGGTGTTGCCATGACAACCACCTGACGACGATGAAATGGCTTGCTGCATGCGCAACAAAACACATCTCAAGACTCGTGTCAGAGTTTGCGTGTTGCTCAGCAGCACGGGACACCTGACTCACGCGGTGTTGTCGAGCTACATGCACAACAAAAATATACGAAGCGTTTATTATTGCAGCGACGTTGAGATGTCACTTGCCATATTGTAGCAGTTCTCCCAGTAGTCGATGGTGATGATCTGGAAGGAGGTCATCATCGCCCAGCCAAAGTTGTCGAAGCTGGTCGCCCCATGGTTTGGGTTTTCACCGATGTCTGGCAAACACGTGTAGTTTGCGGGGCAGTGACTGAAACAAAACCACAAGGAGAGGCACATTTCCATGTCTCTACCCTGTCATTTTTATGTTACTCGATACGACTAATGGTTTTCCATCATACCATTTACCATATTCTCTGGATTATAAGACACTCTTTTCCCTGATATTTTAAAGCAAAAAGTTGGGGATGCCTCTTAATATCCAAGACGTGTGTGTGTCTGTCATCGGATTTGCGTACGTTTATTGACCCCGGGTAGAGATTGGGGGTGCATCTTACTTTCTGGAGCACTTCATAATCCAGAGAACATGGCAGTAGTTGCCGACGAGAGTGTGCAAAATTTTGATGGCGAGTGAATTTAGAAAACTCAGAGCAAGTCACCTGGTGCCAGTGCCGTTTCCACAAACCATGATTTCAATGTCATCCGTGATCAGCCAGTTTGCTGTGAACAGAAGAAAGAGCTGCAGATGTGGAGAAGCAAAGTCACGTCGTTACAGTAAAAACTAACCAACGTTTAGGGATGGTGATGACGAGGATGATGATGATGCTGCTGCTAGTGGTGGTCATGAAATCATGAAATCATGACCACCAATTACACTGGTCAATAAAAAAAAACATTTTTTCTGGCCTGGACTTTTTGCAGATGTTCTAGACTAATTTCAGGGTGCTGATTCCAAATCTGATCTCAGATTTGCTCTATCGCATCTCATTTTTATGCTATCGGCATACCCAATTTTCATTGATTTTACCCAAAATTAACTCTGTCACTTATGATTGCAAGTTGTTGCGAGTCAGTGACTGCTTTAGTATTAAAATCTGGTGCTGCATTTTTATGATAGTGTGTTTATAATATAATTTTATGTAGATATCCACATTTATTTAATATTTTTCTTCTGCAGTTTTGATTGAAAATGCAATATTTGATATCTCAAAAACCTGATGTGAGAGACCAAAACTGATGCCAGATTTGGAATCAGCACCCCAAAATTACCTTCAAACCATTGGAATACCTTATGCCAGAAAAAGTGTGTTGACCAGTGTTATCTATGGACAATAGCACACATATGTGGAGTAATTTTATTTATGTGGCTAGTTGGCCACAAATGACAGGATCCACCAACAGCAATACCCATATCGATGTGGATCAGAGTTTCATAATATGAGGAATATAAAGACGATAAAATACGTGTACGTGAACAGTTCATTTTTCGATCCACTGCTGGATGAGGGCCTCCACATGCCATGCGAGTCATGATGGTTATTTGACCATACTGCACCATGCTGGTCAGTGTGGGTTGGTGAAGGCATTGAGCATAGATATTGGAACATAATACATTACAACAGTGGCGTTTGCTTTACTGTCCACTGCCAACAACGTATAAACTACTTTATATGGTTTAGAAGCATGACCAATAATGAGAAATATCGAACGTACATTTTAAAAGTGTGCAAAGAAGAATTGAGAGATGCATGCTTGGAGTGATATTGAGAGAGAGGAGCACACAGATCAATGACATCATCCAAACTTAAAAAAAACCAGTCAGTGTGCTCGGGCAGGGTGCATCACAATGGATGACAGGCAGTGGTCAAGAATAACAAAGTGTGGCAGTCCAGGAATGGAACATCCACCAAGGAGACAGCATGTTAACTACCTCACCTGGTATACAGGTCGTGGGTTCGATCCTGATCCTGATACCTGTATATTTGGAGTTTGTGTATCTCTCTCCCCGTGGTCACGTGGATTATTTTCCAGGTCCTCCGCTTTATCCCTCCACATTTGGAAACATGCGCTGAGAGTATTTGGCTGCTATAAATTTCCACATGATAACCCCCTTCTTTGAGATGTCATTTGTGGACACGTCGCTTCTGAAAAAGAGCTATAAAGCTCAGTGGGCCTTACCTGGTAAAGTAAAAAATAGTTTAAGTTATTTTGTTGTTATTACATCTGCGGATCATGAGAGGTTTGTGGTTGGCTTGGGGAGGCGTACATCCAGCATTGGATTGACCGTGGCTGAGGATGATGGCGGCGACGAAATCACGTAAAGTCAAGTGCCCGCTTACACTTGTTTTGCACGTAGTTGCTCCACTCAGCAGCGGAGAGGGAGCTCGTGGCCGGGTCGGGCAGGATTACGCACTTCTGACGCAGCACACCGCGGAAGATCTGCAGGCCGAAGAGCGAGATGATGATGAGCGCGAAGATCATGAGCAGCATCACGTTGAGGAGCAGCCCCGCCGACTTGAAAATGGCCCCCACGATCGTCTTCAGTGCTACGTAAGGTGCGAAAGAAGTTCAACATACACACATGCATTCAGCAGAAGGAAAAAAAGCAACAAAACACACACTCAAGTATTTGCACCATTGCAACCTCATTTGCCAGTAAAAAATATGATAATTGTTTTTTTACCCTTCTATCTGGCAACAGTACTGACACCTTTTTTTACAAGGAGTCATGTTTGCATAGACCACAATACCTGCAGTCATAATGCAATTAACTTCAAGGACAGTGCACATTATCAGAGTTATGTTTTTTGTTTGCATTATGACTGCAGGTATTGTGGTCTATGCAAACATGACTCCTTGTAAAAAGGTGTCAGTTTTGTTTCCAGATAGAAGGGTAAAAAAACAATTATCACACTCAAGTATGTATGTTAAACATCTTTCACGCTGTACTCAGCCAATCGCGCTAATCGCACCCGCACCACTCAAACGAAAGCAAAGAGCGAGCGGCTGTGAATTGAATATTGTTAAGAGTCAAACAGCGACCACAATGTCATAATAAGTTTTTTTTGTGGTCGCTGCTTGTCTTCTTAAGCTCGACCAGGTGAGCCAGAGCCAGTCTCGTTCACATCGTGCCGAACAGCCACTCGGTAACAACCAGAAAACACATCTGTGGCCAACTCTTAATGCAGAAGCTGGCAGCTGTTGCACGTTACCTGGGAGGATGGCGATCATCTTGAGAGCTCTGAAGGCTCGCAGAGCTGAGAGGCCCGGAAGGAAAGGGAAGGCGATCGTCATGTACCTGTAAGAGAAGGTGAGGATTGAGCAATGACAGCGACAACGTTAAACAACCTGACAGTGGGCATTGAAGCAGTGCATTGCACACACTCGCGCTTTGCACGACATTTATAAACTAGAAAATCCCTGTGAAATGTCACGGTTTACCCTCTCCAAAGACTCCAATTGTGTCTTCCACATGTTTCCCAGACTCTCGTTCATTTTACAAAACTATTTCCAGCTGCCGACTAATAAAATCAGAGGAATGTTAACAGTGTTTAGAATTGCATAAAACCCCATGAGATAAGTGTGGTTACATTTTTCAGTCGGGTTTTTTTCCACCTAGGTTGGCTACGTGCGGTGCGAAAGAAGTTTAACATAACATACATCGCTCATCAACATCATTACCATACGGGTCCAGGTTCCTTTCGGTTCGGATGAGTCTGTAGCTCGACAACAAGATTACTTAAGCAAGTAATTTGCTGAAGCAGGCTGACTCACGGACGGGAATAAAATGTCCTTATAATGTCGATAAACTAACATTAGGTCAGTGTATAATTTTTAGTAGCTCATCTTTACAACATTTCCATAACATATGTGAATAACACGCGTTCATATGAAACAAAATAATGAAATAATGTCAGCATGCTGAATAATTCGCGAGCACATTTAACTATACAATGCACAACAAGTATGGAAAATCATGGGGATTGATGTGAATGTTGTTGTTGTTAAGGAATGCATGAATCAGGGTACAAACCAAAAAGTTGAGATGTACCATTGACTGTGAACAAAAGTGTAAATTTTGATGTAAAGCTTTCGTGACTGCAGGGATTCATATTCTTGGTTCTTTCGGTAAAGTCACGTAGAAGGGAAACAATATAAAACAATACAATTATCACGACGTTTCGACTGCAACACAAGCAATTATCATCAGGCGTGAAAAACGCAGCAAGAAATTTTGAAAAAAGTGGCGTTTTTTAAATTATTTTATTGTTTCCCTTCTACGTGACTTTACCGAAAAGTAAGTGTGCTTGGTAATGCCAGATTGTTAAAAGGGATGATGATCAGACTGCTGATGGAGTGTCAGCCAAATGAGAGAACGTGCCTGAGAGTATGAGCCCCCAAGAGATTGGGTGACGAGATGAGCACATGCTAGCCAGGGAGACCCCCTGTGGCAGCTGTACCTACGTGGCACAAGGTGTATGCAACACCGCCCTGACAATGGGGCACCAGTCTGCTTGTAGGGGACGATGTAGTTTTAGGGGTTTTCCAATGAGGTAAATTGTGAGTCATTTTTTTCAAATTGTGACCATGACGTTGGCAATGATGACCATCTTGCTTCGTGAGAAAATTGTCGCAACTGACGCGAGGATGATGACGATGAAGTCGAGCCAGTTCCACGCGTTGCGCAGGTAAGAGTACGGGTGGAAGACAAAGCCCCGAGCCAGCGTCTTGATGAGAAACTCCCCCGTGTAGATCGTCGTGAAAATGTAACTGTGAAATAAAATAAAACATTAAATAATTTACAGCCCCTGGGGAGGGGTGGCGGCGGGGGAGTGGTTAGTGCACTGCCTTATGAACACGTGTAACCTGCGTGTGATTATGGGCCACGGCTGACATCTGTGGTCAGTGATATACAAACCCATCGTGATCTGTCAACATCCTGCATAACTGAGTGGCTTCAGCAGCAAAGCAAGCGGCTCTCAAAGGGAAGGTTGCAGAGTCCAAATTATTTTTTTGGGAGTGACTCCAGCCCATCATCCCACCGGGGACGATTAAATTGAGTACCACTTTGTGGGGAAGTAAACAGTGGTTTCCCATGGAAAGACTTGCCCGTGTCATATCAATGTGGTATTTACACCACTGGATCAAGGCTGTAAATAGAATATGAGCACAGCTTAAATGCTCATTTGAGCAAGAATTAACTTTGACTTTGAAACAACCTACTTGATGGCAAGGCTTGGGGAGAGGTTCAGTAATGGATTGGCAAAATTACATATTGTTATTTTATGCAGTGCATTATGTGACAATAAGTAATTCTTGAGATGTGATATTGACTATTATAACAATGAAACATCAAAGGATGGAAATATAAATAATGACACCACCTGGTAATAGAGTTGCATAGCCACCGTGTTATATTTCAAGGTGTGCAAGGAATACTTCAACACATCTTCATCTAGCCATCAACATTGTCGAATTGATTGATTTGTCTTTCGCTTAAGCGAGCGAGAAATCTACTGAGATTCACAGTATTTCTTCCTTTACAACATCGACGCGAAAAATATATGTAGACAAAAAGAGACAGTTGCCATTATATTTATATCATTTGCAATATGGGCTACGACACTGTGGCAATGTTGCACAATACTCTTATACATTTACAGGGCATTACGTTTAAGTTAATACTTCAGCATGAACAGTGAACAGATCAATAGCGATGATAGCAATGACAGGGCAGCAGGGTAGTTCAGTGGTAACACTTTGTGCCTCACACCAGAAGGCCTTGGGATTGAGTCTCTTACCCAGGCCTCTTTCTGTGTGTAGTTTGTGAGCTCTCCTCCCTGTTCTGAAAGCGTTTCCCCCGGGTTCTCCCGATTTCCGCCCATAGCTATGAAGACCACATATAATGTAACCGGTCTTGGCCAAACATCCCAACGCTGAATAAAATTACCTGCAAAATGCTCAATTTGGATATTACACAAAGCAGCAGCAGCATCGCAGCTGCTGGCACGACCCTCCTGAACAAAGCACCTTGAAGACGGTAAGACTTGCCTGGGTAAACAAGACAACAATAACAATCTTCTCGTCGTCTCCTGCCACCACAGTTAAATGTTTCTCTGGAATCGAGGACACGTGATCATGGCCCTGTCCGCAGCCCTTGCACTGGGCTGTGTATTGAAGCAATGACAATACACAATAATAACAGAACTTGTGGACCGTTCAATCGTGTGTTCGCGGATGCTTTACTTACTCGGCCAGTGGATAGGATTTGTTTGTCGCCAGGATGATCATGTTGACGAAGATCGTCAGGATGATGAATGAGTCGAACATCGTTCTCGCCGTCAAGGACAAAAACCACAGCACCTCGCCTGCCTCGCGCGTTCCCCAGCTCCCCTGCAGGGCAGCTCAAGCTGAACCCAAGCGGTGTCGTGTTGCGTAACGAGGCAAATCAAAACCAAAACCATCCGAATGTTGTCGCGCCACCAAATCAGATCTTAGTGAAGTGGCAGAGAGAGAGAGAGGGGTCTGAGCCTGCATCGATAGGGCTTCTTCAATGGGCAATCTTCCATGCACGACAGCCGTTAGAGGCCACGGGGTTGTGATCCGCAGATCGCAAGCTAGGGCTGAACGATTAATCGATTTCAAATCTAAATCGCAATTTGAAACAATGCGATGAGCAAATCGCAAAGGCTGCGATTTTTTGCGATTTTAAAAGTTCTGACTTTGATTTTGGAATTGTTTAATTTGTTATTATAACTTTATTTATTTAACTTAATTGTTCTATGTTTGTTGTATTTCAATTAAAACATTTTAATACATGTTGGAAGCAATTCATATCTTTTAAGTTATCACCCTTGAATTACAATATTTAGAGCAGTTCATATTTTGATGGTATCATGTGGTAATGCTCCATCACATGTTTTAAATCTGTTACACCGTGAATATTGAACTGAAGCTTGACTTAAAACAATTTAATCGCAACTCAAATCGCAATGAGATATTTTGCCCAAATCGTTCAGCCCTAATCGCAGCGCAGCGGAATCCACCGTTGTACTGCACTGCTATGCTCCTGACTTCTCAGCTGGTTGTCATCCAGCAGCGGATTGGCCAATGGGTTGCGCGTGCACGCGTTTACCTTTGGGGGGGGGGGAGGGGGTCATAACGGAGTGCGCATAGGGGGACACCCATTGAGTAGGTCCACACAACTCTGTCAAAACTTGACCCCTCCCTGTACACACGCGGACTTTTTACACAAATATCCAACCAGCTGCTCGTACTAGCCCGACCCCTAAACCAACCCCTATCCCTAAACCAACCCCTAACCCTAAACCAAACCCCTAACCCAACCCCTAACCCTAAACCAACCCCTAACCCAACCCCTAACCCTAACCCAACCCCTAACCCAAGCCCTAACCCTAAACCAACCCCTAACCCAACCCCTAACCCAACTCCTAACCCTAAGCCAACCCCTAACCCAACCCCTAAACCAACCCCTAACCCAACCCCTAACCCAAGCCCTAACCCTAAACCAACCCCTAACCCAACCCCTAACCCAACTCCTAACCCTAAGCCAACCCCTAACCCAACCCCTAACCCTAAACCAACCCCTAACCACCCCTAACCACCCTAACCCTAAGCCAACCCCTAACCCAACCCCTAACCCAACTCCTAACCCTAAACCAACCCCTAACCCAACCCCTAACCCTAAACCAACCCCTAACCCAACCCCTAACCCAAGCCCTAACCCTAAACCAACCCCTAACCCAACCCCTAACCCAACTCCTAACCCTAAGCCAACCCCTAACCCAACCCCTAACCCTAAACCAACCCCTAACCCAACCCCTAAACCAACCCCTAACCCTAAGCCAACCCCTAACCCAACCCCTAACCCAACTCCTAACCCTAAACCAACCCCTAACCCAACCCCTAACCCTAAACCAACCCCTAACCCAACCCCTAACCCAAGCCCTAACCCTAAACCAACCCCTAACCCAACCCCTAACCCAACTCCTAACCCTAAGCCAACCCCTAACCCAACCCCTAACCCTAACCCAACCCCTAAACCAACCCCTAACCCTAAGCCAACCCCTAACCCAACCCCTAACCCAACTCCTAACCCTAAACCAACCCCTAACCCAACCCCTAACCCTAAACCAACCCCTAACCCAACCCCTAAACCAAGCCCTAACCCTAAACCACGAGTACCGACCGTGGCCCGAATAACGCTACCAACCACCCAGCTCCACGCGTCGCTTTCTCGTCGTCGTCGTTGTTGTGGTGGGCACTCCACAACTCTGCCCGTGCTCTCTCGCGTTAGGGGCGAGGGGGGAGGGGGTCGTCGACAGCAGCCACCGCCGCCCTTGGCGACATCGCCACTGCGTGAAGATGAAGGAGGATATTGGTTGGTCATGAGCCGCACTGCGAGCCAGCGCACGGGGTTCTGCGGAGCGAGCACGAGCAGGGCGCGGCAGCAGCTCATGCGGTACATGAAGGGCTTGTTGAAACGCGTCGTGATCACGCAGTACGATTGCTGCTGCAGACACATAGATGCGGGGGTGGAGGAGACGGGGGTGGAAGGGGTTAGTGAATAGTGCACGGACAACGATTTGTTTACTTTGCGAAAACGTTGCGCTCCTGCCGTGTTCTTTGGTTCTTTCGGTAAAGTCACGTATAAAGATAAAATAAAAAATAGCTATTACTTAATTTATTATTTTATCTTTATACGTGACTTTACCGAAAGAACCATAGAATAATTCCTGCAGTCACGAAAGCTCCAAAATTAAGACTCCTGCCGTGTGTTTATATTGTTGTTGTTGCGTCGTTCTGATCTCGTGCCCTCTACTGGAGCATCTGTGACGAAGAGCTTTCTAGCTCATCGGATTCCTCCAGTGAAAAATAATATTCTGATTCTAATGAGGGCGATGAGATTTTGTGGGTTATCAAGTTGTTTTCTCCCGAACGCTCCTCAATTCTCTCCTGCCTGCGGTGTCATCTCCACGCATCCAGACTGTGCAGTGGTTAAAGCACGCGGCCTGCAAGGATTGTGAATTCGAATCTCGGTGTGGGGTTGGCTCGAGTTTAAAATGCTCTGGGGTTGGATATACAGTCATGCGTTCGTGTGACTTGCCCTCGCCAAACGAATGTGGAATTTACGTGACTGACTCGGGACTGTGAGCAAAAAGATGAGAACTGTCAAATGCTCATTTGAGTGAGAAATCACTTTCACATATTGACTTCGTTGCATCATCAAGACGTCACAGAAGACAGCGAAACACATTCTCTATCTTTGTGATTAAAAGTCTGAAAGAAAACATATTCAGTCGTGGTCTGCTGGCCTCCGACTAAAAAAATAAAATCAGTTTTAACCTGGAATGTAAAATAGCTGCCGGAAAGCAGGTGCGAGTGACAGCAATTTGGTATAATTTTACTTCAGTTATCACACATCACGTAGCTTCCTGAGCTGCAATTACTTAGGTTTATCATTTTCATGTTCAGTCGTTTTCATTGTGGTCATAATTGATTCATACTTGGTTTATTTTAGGCTTCAATGGTGTAAAAATGTGTCGTAAAGCCTCCTCCACCCGACACAGCCAATTAATAAAAGTGTCCCGTGAAGCGAACTTTATCGCTGCTTCAGCAGCACGCACCACTGGTGTTGTTGGAGAGTAATCTCACAACATTTAAGACACAAATGTTTACACAACCTCACCCGATATAAACCAATTATGAGCCACAATATTGGCCATGAAAGCCTATGTATAACATGTGTTAATTATTGTGTAATGCTCACCATTATACAACTCAAATCATATGCACATGACAGATTGGTATGATGCAACCATTATTGATGATTAACTATCTCGGCGAGTGCGTTTGGTACTGTCCTGACCACCCATGACCCCTTGTTCAGAAAACGCTACCGAGTACACAGGGGTAAATGTAGAACATTTTCCAATACGTAAACAGTACAATGACGATGATGACAACAAACATCTTTCAGAAAATCAATAGTCGCCTAATGATTTGAGAAATATTATCATTCAACCGTCCGTCGTCAATACGTGCTCCTAGGGAGCAATGACAACCACCCAATGACGTCATGAAGAGTTTACCCTGCTCTCCATGTCGGATCACAGACTATCAAAATCAAACAATTAGTTTTTTTTAATGTATTTATAAAAAAAATAGCTCTGGTTTTAAAAGCGAAATGACTAATGTTTCGATAAATCAACAGTCGCGTGATAGCGTCAAAAGTCTGCAAAGTGAGAGAGAGAGTCATTTGTAATGGGTGCCGTGGTGGTGAGATATTAACTAGCTCGCCTGATGTACAGGAGGTCGTGGGTTCGATCCCAAACCTGACACCTGAATATTTCGAGTTTGTGTGGTCTCCCCGGGGTCATGTGGATTTTTTTTCCGGTTCCCTCCACATTTAGAAACATTCGTTTCTAATATTTGGCTGCTATAAATTCCCACGTGATAAGCCACTTCGTTGAATTATCATTTGTGGCCAGGTCACTTCTAAACAAACAGAGCTATATAGCTCAGTGGGCCTAAACTGGTAAAAAAAAAGTTTGTTTTTATAGTAACGTGCAATCTCCATCATGTTAAGAAGAGCCTTTGATCTGTAGTATTAACATGTGCCATGAAATCCTTGCACAAAAAAACAAGAATAAAGCAAAAGAAGCCAACACTTTTTGTCGATGCCAGAGTTGAGCAGGCATGATCTCAGCTGGGCTGGTAGCAATCCCCAAACCCCACATTTGGAACATTTTCCTAACATATGCAGCAATCTACCCTCGGCCCCCAAAAGAACAGAGGTATTCGCAAACTACGCCAGCAAGTATTACGATGAACACCATGTGATTGCCAATTGGTTTACGCCACGATGTGGCCACCCAACTTGTATCCAAGGCTGAGTCCGGGGTGGTACGAGCCTGCGGGAGTACGTACTGCACATGCACACGAACACAACATTCCCACTTTTAGAGTTATAGGCTGGATGGAGGGGTAACTGCTGTTTGTGAGCATATATGCATATACTGACAGTGCGAATGAGTAAGTCGTAGTGCCAACAACATACCTGACCGCTTTTGTCTCTCCTATGCCAATGTTCACATTACAGCACCTGATTCTTGTATTAAGCTTGAGTTAATCTGCATCAGTTGCCTTACGCTTTGGGATATCCTGTCACTTGTGAAGTGCGGTACATATGAACGACGAGGATGATGGTGATGATTGTGATGATGGCGATGATCATTATCATCATGATAGTAGAGAGCCCAGATTACAATTGCCACTGGTCAGGTGCTAAACCCAGCTCACCAGCAATGCAGTGTACTGCACCTCAACTCTCCGATGCGTTTTCGGATTTTACCACCTATTATCCGATATGATGTTCGACATTTTACTGCACGATGCTGAGATGTTCTCCTCGTGCTGGGAAGTTCTCAGCATGTGCTGATCACGATGACGATGAAGAAGCGCCCTGCACGTGGGGCAAAACGTCGGACATCGCACTAAACAACACCCAGTACAACCCGAAAACACATCGGAGAGCCGTATGGCACAACCGTGAAAATTTACGCAGGAGTATACCCCACCGACCACCAAATGACCTCTTCCTGCTGTCATTATTTTCTAGAGCTCCATTCCCATACCTTTCCGTCTGCCTGCTGGTCGTTGTGCACAATCTCGGCCTTGCCATCGGTGAGAAACGTGTCATTCTGAGTGATGAGGTGCTTTTCCTGGAGCCAGGTCAAGAGGTCACTCTTGTGTCCATTCTGAGATGTGGTCAGTGGCTTCTTCAGGGACAGGCGCAGTGGCAGCTCCAGCAGCCGCTCGGCCGGCAAGGAGGGCATCCGCGTGGTGATGTTGAAGCTGCGGATGCTCTGCCTCACTGACATCATTTCGGAGGGTTCCATGGTCTGATACTTGGCCGTCCTCCTGCGAGATGGCCGGACGATCGTGCTGCCCATGCTGGGCACGTTCCCCTTCTGGAACGGAGCCATCCTGTCAGCGGCGCCCTGCAAGGAAACAGCAACACACTCTCAGAATTTAAAACTACAGAGGGCTTCATTTTAGCCGTAGCTGTCCGGGGATGATCTACATATAATATTTCCCCGCTTGTCAGGGGCAACAGAGTCCAGGATGTTTGCAGCCCCTTGGAAATAGTCTATCAGCATCTGGGTACAAACTGAGCAATCATTGGAAGGACGTTATCAACCAGTTTAAGTCATAACTAGCTATGACGTTCCCATCCTACCACCTTGATGTGCTTTACGCCCATTTCACATTTGCGCTTTCACAGGATTCACACCAACACAGTCACTTCACACGCCGACTACCCCTCGGTTGCGGCTCTGCGATTTCCCATGAACATGCTAATCTCTCATAAACATGCTCATTTTCACCTGGCAGCCCTTTGATTGGTGGAAAACCCACCATCGTCGGGTTGGCTGCCCACCACTTGCACTAACATTGGCTGCTGACATTTGGGCTACGTCTATTTCAAACCTTTATAAACAGTTTGCCTTTGGAAGCTAACACCCCTTTTCCTGAAGACGAACGCTTGTGTTGCGATGGAAACGTCGTAGTTTTTGTTATTTGTTATCTTCTTTGAACCTATCTCCGTGACTTTACCGAAAGACCAAGATAATATGAATTCCTGCAGTCACGAAAGCTTTAAGTCAAGAGTTTGTCAGCAGTTAAGCTCTGGAACTATACATTGATGAGGTGGCCAGACACTTGAGAGAGATGAGAGCACTGAGTCGGCATGCCTGAGAGGCTGTGTTAAAATCTGGTTCAGAGCCAACTGTGCTTCTCAAGTGTGATGATTTGGTGGTCACAGTGTGGTCACAGTGTGACTGCACAAACCAATAACAAAGTAGATTTCAGTTGTTTACTTCGGCTTATCTTGCCTTGGATATTTAATTGGCGTGCAAGGAACAATTTGTCCACAGCTTTAAAAGCTATGCCTTTGGTGTGGTTAAATAGGTTAATTGACGTTACTTCAGAAGTAGTTCTGTGACATACATTTCTTGAGCCATTCTCTGACACAGGGTTGCATCCTCTGCCAGTTGCAGAGCTCCAAATGGCAATTAAAATTTTGGGTTTCTTGCAATTGTACCACAATCTCAAGCAGAATACAATTGTGGATGTCTTCTTGAGCGTGTTTTCTTCGTTGGCTGCCACTCCGTCGTCAGTCTCGACCGCTGCCAATAATTCCTTCTGGTTTTAGTTCAACGCTGTGGAAAATCAAATAAAGTGAGAACAAATTTTACGGATTTCTCGCTATTGGCAGGTGCAATCGCTTCTTTAGCACTGTACATAGCCGACCGTGCTAATCGGAGGTGCTGGGGAAGGACAACAAACCAAACACACAACGCAGATCGAAAGAAATGAGTTTTCAATCGAGATTTAAATATTCATAGCTCCAGTGGCTTCCTAATACCGAAAGGAAGAGCGTTCCAGGTGGCCACAGAAGGACATCTAAAAGCGAGCGATGCAGTGACCGTCTTTGTTTGATGGCCAGCCAAAAGCCGCTGCGGGGATGACCGGGAGTTGGTGTGATGGTTTATAATCTTAGGTGTTTTTTTTCGGTAAAGTCACGTAGGTAAAAATTTTTAAATTAATATAAGTAAAATAAAAAATAATAAAAAATAATAAAAATGACGACGTTTCGGAGGCAACACAAGCTTCCGTCTTCAGGTGGAACCATCACAGGACGATAGCTGTATCAAGTGAGAGGAAAAAAAAACCCTAAGAATATGAATCCTTGCAGTCACGAAAGCTTCAAATCTAGAAGTGATGGTTTATGCTCCTGGACGTTTGGGATGCAGAGCTTCCGACCATGACTGTGGCTTCTCCTAGTGGGGCCTGTCAAGGTACAGTGCCCTTCATCCTCCTTTTCCCTATGGCTAAACCACCGCTGCATGCAGCGAGGTGATCTCAGTGCACGCCGCCGTGCTTGCGTTGAAGGCAAAAGCTCAATTTCCAGGCCAAGTGAGGTAAAACAATGAAAACCAAGCTTGATTTCGCATCGTGTCCACAACGGATGAGTGTCCGTTTCATCAAACAAACCTGATACGAGGCCCTCTGCTTTAATCTGCAGTGGCACTGCATTTTCGGCACGGTTATTGTGTCACTGGGACCCGCTGTCTTTGCGTACCGAAATGAGAATTTTCATTATTGACTCGTTTATTTTATTCTTTTATGAATGCCCTCGGTTGTGTGGCAGCGGCAAAACGGCTTGAAAGCCAACACCTGCGGCCATGAGGCACCACACTCCTGTTACAGCTCGCCAAATAAATATTATGAAGCTGAACGTTATTTCATTCGATATTATAAACCTATTGTTTTTTTTTGTGGCGCGTCTCTGCCTCCAGGTGAATGTTGTTATATAACACGAGGCGGGAATGTGACCCTGCCGCTGTGCGAATCGAAGCTGAATCATTGATTAAAGTTGCCTTTAATATTTAATGTTACATCACGTAAAACATCGCAGGATTAATGTTGTATGAGCGGAAACCGCATGAGCATTTCTTTGGTGTCGAACATATTAAGTTTACTCTTTCAGAATGACGTTGCCAAAAAAATTGGAGGAAATGATTTGTTTTGCTATGAAGGTTAAACGCAAACTAAACTCAACGTCGTAATAATCGTGATCAGTCCTGGTCAATGAAGGCCTCAACAAGCCGTGGTGAAGAGGCTTGAGGGCTTTGAAGCGCTGAGCTGATCTTTTGTGCAGGGGCAACTCCCTTCACCAAAACCACCGTTGACCGGCTGATGATTGATGCACCTAAACACATAAAGAGTATGGTATAAGCATAACAAAATGCTATATTTTGTCAAGATATTCTTAAGATACTGTTTATATTTCCATTTAAAGCTTTCGTGACTGCAGGGATTCATCTTCTTGGTTCTTTCGGTAAAGTCACGTAGAAGCGAAGTAATAAAATAATAAAAATAAAACATTTATTTTTATTATGTTTTATTTTTATTATTTTTATTACTTCCCTTCTACGTGACTTTACCGAAAGAACCAAGAAGATACTCTTTATAATTTGAATACGATGCCCTGATGACAAAAGCGCCGTGAATGTACTCATTCCCAACGGATCTCAGAAGGCAAGCAGCGTTGAGCTTGTTCAATGCTTGGATGAGAGACTGACTGAGAACATCAGGATTTGTGCCCTCGGACTGCGTGGTGACCAGAAGATGGCAGTAGAGCAACGGATTCTTGAATCCATCTATGTGGAGCTTTGAGCATTAGCCCCAGCTTAATTTTTATTCGTTTCCTCTGGATACTACAGTTACCTCCCACATATTATTGGTTCTTTCGAAAGCTTTAAATCAAAATGTATACCTCCCACTTGTCAAACACTCCTTAGTGGAATTGCACAAATACCCCAATGCAGAACCATCTTAAAGTTGTTGTCTTTCCTGGGTAAATGTAACAGATTTATTATGAAATTTAAACTAACAGGAACAATAATATGAATCTATTACATGCATTCCCCTTTTTGACTGAAGCTGGCTATGTAGCTAAACATTAACAGGCAAATTATATTAAAGAATATCACAAGTGCACCTTCATTCCTGATGATGAGTTGTAGCAGAAAAATTCCTCCTAACACTTGATTTGCACTGATAGATTGATGAATATCTACTTGCACCTCTGTGTTATAACAACCTCAGATATAAATGCCGCAACCTCTTATAATCCTTACATCGAAGAAAGAGGATCATTAATTGATCTATATTGCTCTTAACTCTGTAAATAATTTCCATTCCTTGTTTGAAATAAATGATAATTGTATTTGTACAGGCCTTTATCAATCCACTGCTGGATGAGGGCCTCCCCATGTCATGCATTTCTTGGTGTATTTATAAGCATACTTCACCGTGCGGGTTGGTGTAGGATGGGGAGCATTGATGTGGGTGCATAGAAGTACAGTACAACAGTAGATTTTGCAGCACTGCCCACCATATATTGTGAGAGCCTCTAACACCTGCTGTGCATAACGGTTGCCCATCAAAAGCACTATCCAGGCTCAATCCTGTTAAGCGTCCGAGATCTGATGAGATCACGTGCATTCTAGACGATTGGGTCGCACGAAAAGGAGAAATCATTTCTCAAAACACCCATTGCAGGAAAGTTATAGTACGGTTATCGAGCTTGCGTGTTGGTCGCAACTCTCATCTTGAATAATGCGTCGTGTTAAACAAATGTGTTGCTTTGCTTTGCTTTCCACAACCAAATATAATATTTCTTGTAGGGTGGGTGAGCCGATGGCAGTGTAAAAACTGCTATATCTATTGCGCAGCTTATTGCCTTTTGCAATCTCCCGTGCTCAATATAAGTAAACCACTTTGAAATACAGTAGCAAACTTTTCAGCAGAGTTTGTGTTTGTTTTAAAGACCACCAGTTATTCACATTCACGATGGGTTGTAAACGAAACAATTCAAATAAATATTGTGTTGTTGTGCTTAAATGTGGATTCGCTAACAGTAACTCAACGCGTCAGACAAATTCCAAGAAATTTGTATTTTTTGTTGTCCATGAAATCATTAAATGCCACGTATTTGCCAAGTTTGCTTATTGCTCTAGTTAATAATTTTGTTAGCTATATATTACTCGTGTTTTAATAATATAAGCTATTAAGCACTGAGAAGCTATGCCAATAATGTTGCGTGTTATTACAAAATGGAAAATAACTAACCTTCCCACGCCGTGTCAATCCCATTGGGGACCGTTTGACCATACTTCACTTTGCTGGTCAGTGGGAGTTGGGGGGGGGGGTTCTGATATCACGCGCCATCGATGCCAGAGTCATAATCGGAAATCAAACCCAGATTTCTAAGATCAGATCAGAGTGAGCTCACCGCGATGTCCTATTGGGGTAGATGTGTTATTTTTTAAAGCACCTATTTCTAAGACCATGCTCGTAAACAAATCAATCACACACACTTTCGTTTCTACAGAAAAGTGGCAAACACTTTTGGTCAAGATACCTCATTTATCTTCTTGGTTCTTTCGGTAAAGTCACGTAGAAGGGAAATAATAAAATAATAAAAATAAAACATAATAAAATACAATTCTCACAACGTTTCGGCTACAACGCAAGCAGCCATCCTCAGGTGAAGAACAGGTCTGTCGGAAAGACAGCGTCTGAATGACTTTACCGAAAGAACCAAGAAGATGAATCCCTGCAGTCACGAAAGCTTTAAATCGGAAAAATACCTAATTTACCTTGTGAATGCCATTACATTTCATCCAACAGGCAAGTATTGATGCAAGTTCATGTACAATTGTTAAAATCATACTTGATTTTCAACAAAACCAAATCAATTAGCACATTTGCCCACGGTGGCAACTTGATTTCATTCACTCTGTCGGGTGGTGGAGGGTTAAAAATAATATTAACATTAACATAGGGCATAATATTAACAGTATGCCTACAGAGTGCCTGCGATATCGAGTCAGACTGCTCCAGGGCATGCCCAATGTCTCGGCTCAACCAGACCGCTCGCGTCGGGACCACAATTTCCCAAACTTTACTGGGTCTCCAGTGGCTTACTATTGAGCTCCGTACACAATTTTAAATTGCTGTGTCTAATTCACGAAGCGCTCTCCTATCTCCAAACTGCCTCCTCACTCTTTGACTGAGACATTTGCAGTTCTCACAATCCTGTCAGAAGTGTGAGTTCCTCGCACAACCGTTTCTCCCTGTCGGCCACGCTGTCATCAAACACGCTACGAAGTTCACGCTTGCGAGCTCCTTGGCCATCAGATTTAAAACTAAAAAAACGAAAACGCTTTGTTTTTTATTTAACCAGGTAAGGCCCACTGAGCTACATCGCTCTTTTGGGTCAGAAGCGACCTGGCCATCACGAATGATAGCTCAACGCAGTGGCTTGTCGCGTGGAAATGTATATCAGCCAAATACTGTAAACGCATGTTGATTCTAAATGTGGAGGGAAAGACCGGAAGACCCGAAGATAAATCCACGCGATCACCGGGATAACATGACAACTCAATATACAGCAGCAGGCGTCACGGTCGGGATCGAACCCACGACCTCCTGCACTACCAGGCGAGGTAGCTAACATCTCATAGCCACCGTGATGATGATGAGAGAGAGAGACACACAAACTCCAAATATACAGCAGCAGCAGGCGTCAGGGTCGGGATCGAACCCACGACCTCCTGCACACCAGGCGAGGTAGTTAACATATCCTAGCCACCGTGATGATGATGAGAGAGAGACACACACACACTCCAAATATACAGCAGGCGTCAGGGCCGGGATCGAACCCAGGAACTCTTGCACACCAGGCGAGGTAGTTAACATCTCCTAGCCACCGTGATGATGAGAGAGAGAGAACACACAAACTCCAAATATACAGCAGGCGTCAGGGCCGGGATCGAACCCAGGAACTCCTGCATACCAGGCGAGGTAGTCTACATCTCCTAGCCACCGTGATGATGATGATGATAGTGAGAGAGACACGCAAACTCCAAATATACAGCAGGCGTCAGGGCCGGGATCGAACCCACGACCTCCTGCATACCAGGCGAGGGGGTTAACATCTCACCACGTGACGTTCCTCAGATGTGGCTCCTCTGCTCGCAGAGCTCCGTCTGACGTTCTGAGAAGCTGCCTTTTGTGAATACATTTAAAACGTTCTTATTTCGTAGGATATTATTTTACATTGTGGAGAAATTGGGTAGATGTGTTATTTCAATCTTGATTTGAAGCTTTCGTGACTGCAGGAATCCGTACTCTTTGGTTCTTTCGGTAAAGTCACGTAGGTATAAGATAAAATAAATTATTAATCGAGGCTGTATCATTCACGAGTGTGTTGAGCATTTTGTAGAAGATACCATAAACATGCCTTGTGTTATTTCTCACGTATGTGTTTTTGTCACTTCTTGAAAATGATTTTTTGTTACACTACTGTACAGCACTCTGAAACCTCTATTGGGTCTGTTGTGCTTCATACATTTGTTAACATAACTAAATGATAATGTTGGTGATGAAAGCCGACGTATAAAATTAAGTAGCGATGCATCGATTAAGTGATGCATGTTCATTACGACGAAACTCACAATGCAAGGATAAAATTGTGCGGACTAAAATTAAGTCCTCGCTTAACGCGTGTTCACACAAAGCTTTTTCGCTATAATGCGGTTCTTCCACGAGGGAACACTTTTCGCACGACGCCCGTTATATCACGGAACAAGCGCCGTTATAACGCGGTTTCTGAGCGGCCCACAATTAACTACTTTGTTGAGCTGTGCGGGCGAGCAGTATGATACAGTACGTGGAATGATACAGAGACCCGGCTGCGTACCCTCAGCTATTTGTCCCGCATCTCACCGCGTGTGCGTACATCGTGTCTCGCCAAACTTGATCGTCACATTATTTTATGGTGAAATAGTTTCGTTGATTAACGCATTTTTCGCTTAACGCTGCACTTTTCAGGAATGCATCTACCGCCTTAGAACGAGAACTTTCTGTGCTAATGATTTTTGCGAATTATACGCGAGTGATATTGCTACAGTTAGGCGAATGGAGCAAACAACATCTGTCGCAATAATAAGTAATATTTAAAACAACTTTTTTAAACACGCTTTTATGAAATGTAATAGCAATGGCAGGACTCCAGGAAGTGGCCCCGAAGCTTGCCGTAACGTAAGGTGCCGTGGCCAATCACAGCCAACGTCAGTTGACTGTGGACAATTAGACCCAAGCCAAAACATAACATATAAAAAAGATGGTTTAAAAATATATATATTTTATGACAGAATATGGTATTTTCATCAGTATGACATAAGTATACCAAGTTTGCAGTCGATACCACATTGGGAAGTGGGTTAAAATTGAGTTACAAGATTTGAGGATACAATAACGACAGCAGAAAGTGAATTAAAAAAATCGTGCAAAAGAAAAAAAGAAAAACGCTACGAAACAAAATCTGACCAAACAATTATCAATCCTTAAATCGAAATGCATCGATCACTGCAATTCATTGAATCTTCTCCGAGGGTAACTCGTGCCTATTGTCCCGTTTTCAATGCAAACTCAACTCAGGCAATGGAAGCAATTCAATCAGCTCGTGGCGCCTGTCCTCGGAGGGGAATTATTATACATCGCCGAATCGCGTGATACGGCAGCCACTGGGTGAGGCCTTCATCTCGCAGTGGATTGAGCATGGCTTATGATGGCGGTGAATACACTACAGCATCTTCTTGGTTCTTTCGGTAAAGTCACGTAGAATAGAAATAATAAAATAATAAAAATAAAACATAATAAAATTATTCTCACGACGTTTCGGCCACAGCGCAAGCAGCCGTCCTCAGGTGGAGAACAGGTCTGTCGAGAAGACAGTCTGAATGCTTGCGTTGTGGCCGAAACGTCGTGAGAATTATTTGATTATGTTTTATTTTTATTATTTTATTATTTCCCTTCTACGTGACTTTACCGAAAGAACCAAGAAGATGAATCCCTGCAGTCACGAAAGCTTTAAATCGAAATTTTACACTACAGCAGTTATACCTCTCGCATTCGCGGTATTTTCTGGTGGACAGAATTTGTGGCAATGTATTGTTGATTTTGCCACTCAATTATTTTCCTGGCCAATGTCAATGCTGCTATGCTTGGCCATTGTTCTCAGAAGCAATAAAAGTATACTGATACGAAATCTAAAGATTCTTCTGTACATCCTATTGCCAACATGTCAATTGCAACCAATGTTAACGTGAGCTAAATCATCATATGATCACATTTGGAACGTGTGATATATTGCATTTTGACAATGGACTGAAATAAAATGTCATATCTATCACAGCGGCAGAAAATCAAGCTGATTTGACATATACATGCAAATAGAACTCACCTGTCTGTGTTGGCCGTGTTGCGAGATGATGCAGTGTTGCTGGGTGTGTATGCCTATACGTCACATCGCATCATAACCTAAACAACTGTCGCCAACACTTGTTGAATTTTAGCTTGGCTAGTTTACATAGGAGTATATATATAAACTATGTGCCTGTGTGATCGCGCGTGTGGGTGTGTCACCTCCATAAATAATTGACTGCATTGTAGGATGATATATGTTTTCTAGTAAGCCACCAAATAGTGCCACTATGCATCCAATTATTTAAAAATCATCGGACCGTGGCAGAAACGTGACCCTCCCTGCGCACGGGCTCCAAAGCGATGGTGACGAATGCTGATTCATGCAGCCTCCTATGTCATGTGTGAGTCCCAAACGGACACTCATCCTCAGCAGTAGCCATGATCAATCAACTGCTCGATGAAGGCCCTCCCGAAGTACTTGCCATCTCTCAGCCCTGCGATGCAACAATCTATCTCCCGCACGCAAGCTAATCACGTCGCTCCATCTCCCCAGCGGACGTGCTCTTGGGTGTGTTCGCTACTTTGGCTGCCACTCCTGACTTAGTCTCAATGACTGACCATCAATCCATTTCTGAGCGATGTGTCCTGCCCAGGCACACTTATTTTTCTCTTATCATTGTATCCCGAATTTGTGCATACTACATACCTGTCAACCCATACAGTTTACCGGTATTCTTGTATAAAGGGAAATTGAGTTGTCAGGTCTATACGGTGTTACAGCCGTTTCAATACGGGTAAACATTTGTTGTTGTCTATTTGTTTGTGCATCTCCCTTGTGAGAAACACAAACTTTGTAGGATTAACGGTGAGGTTTATAAGGGCACGGGGTGACCAATAAGGTCTGAGTTGGTCTGTAATAAGGTAGGCACTGATAAGGGGTTGACAGGTATGATACTATCTAAACCATGTGTTCCTCTCTTGGTTTCTGGGTGTAAATCCAAAGCATTACAACAAAACCCAACAACACAGAGAGGTCCTCCAAAATGAGAAAGCACACCTTTGTTAGCATGCTCACCATTGCGAACTTATTTACATTCATTTGGTTATTGATGTAATAACCAAAGATTTGTCATGCCTCCAAATGAGGTGGACACTTGCACAGATTCAGTGGATGAAATACTGCCTCAACTCAGTACTGATTACCAGAATACCAACAGCTGTAATGTTGACATTCGCAATCTCAGAATGCCATTGCCAATTTAGGGATGTGTATGCTAGTGCATTGGGCCAACTTATAAAATATTTCAATTTGCCAGAATTTGTGAATTTCGGGGAATGGAACGGATATGAAGTCAAACAACAATACAACCTTGAGTCGTATTTTTCTGCACATCGTTAACCGGCACTTTGTATTCACTATCGAGGACAAGTTACGTCAAATACACGACGGCCGCCAACATTAGGCGACAACACATTGTTCCGTGGTCAACACGACATTGAATGCCTTTAAATCATTTTTTTTTTACAAAACGAAGACGTCTCTAATAAATATATTCAGAGTTAAGATTGTGAAGTGGACACCGCACACCTATGTTTTGGTCTCATCCTGGCCGCAGGTTGATTTGAGCATTGATATGAGCCAGATGTCCTTCTGCAGAGGACGCTGGTGTTTTGGTCCACTGTGTATCGCTCTCGCTCGCTCGCTCTCTCTCTCCCTCCCAGGGCTGTAAACACGCACCGGGGCTGGCAGCTCACGGTGGTGGCGCCAATCCCAGTGAGCGAGAGCTCGGCTTGGCGCCTGCGCAATTAAACACAGCGGCTTGGGGGCTTCTCTCCCGCTCCAAGGGAACACGGAGTTACGCCTGCACTTGCGACGTCTCTCCCTCTTATATTTCAATTTAAAGCTTTCGTGACCGCAGGGATTCATCTTCTTGGTTCTTTCGGTAAAGTCACGTAAAAGGGAAATAATGAAATAATATAGATAAAACATAATCAAATAATTATCACCACGTTTCGGCCACAACGCAAGCAGCCGTCCTCAGGTGAAGAACAGGTCATTCAGACGCTGTCTTTCCGACAGACGCTGTTCTTCACCTGAGGACGGCTGCTTGCGTTGTGGCCGAAACGTCGTGAGAATTATTTTATTATGTTTAATTTGTATTATTTTATTATTTCCCTTCTACGTGACTTTACCGAAAGAACCAAGAAGACGTCTCCCCTTGTGCGTTGCGACGCAATGAGAAACACAACATCTGCGTGTAAAAAAGGGGTGAAATGTGCAAGTGCAGCTGCTTATATGGCTCTCTCACGCCACTGTCGGCAGATGGGCGAGCAAGGTTAAGGTGCATCCCTGCAATTGCTTGCTCATGGCATTGCTTGCAGAAAGGCCCCCACTAGAGCCAACACCAGAGAGAGCCTCTCTCGAGGGTACTTTGGCCTACTCTTTTCCACGCCCGCCGGGCGTCTTGGAAGTGATGGGAGTGCCCACACTTTGTCTCACCACACACCACCTGCCTATCGATTTAATTGTGGTGCACCCCTTTATACTGCCGGGAGTATATCTCTCTATATGTGTTGAATGTCTTTTGCACCGTACGTAGCCAACCGTGCGAATCGGAGGTGCGGGATTATAATCGCAGAGAGGCGGGGGGATCTAAGTAGCTTGACAATTGTTTCAATATTCAACCGGCAACCTCTGGATTGCAATTCCAGCGTGCTGACAATTACACCACAATCGTCTTGACTCTTACATTATACACAAGGCATTGTATATCTGTCCATCCGTCATCAGTCAGTCACATGGAGTAGTCAACTGCACAGAGTCAAGTAAGGGCTCATTCTGACTGGAAAGAACAAGAGACGCTATGGAATTCTAGATTTGACGTTTTCGTGACTGCAAGGATCCATCCTCTTGGTTCTTTCGGTAAAGTTACCACGTAGGTGAAAAAAAAATCACGACGATTCGGAGGCAACACAAGCTTCCGGCATCAGGTGAAACAACCCCAGCAAAATTTTTTTTTTTTTACTGTAGTGGGCAGATAATTTTTTGCAGCTCTCTCTGCCCACTACATTATTTTTTTGCTGGGGTTATTCCACCTGATGACGGAAGCTTGTGTTGCCTCCGAAACGTCGTGGTTTAGTTATTTTTAATTTTATTTTCACCTACGTGGTGACTTTACCGAAAGAACCAAAGAGTACATATGGAATTGATAATGAGCAATGTATGACATTAAGACCAGGAGTGGATTGACACACGGGTAGTAAAATTGTACGTACAACGCATGGTGTGTGCATGCAGGCCTGTACTTTAGCAACGTGTGCATCTTCTGCAAGCACCACAGTTTTATCGCAAGCAGAGACATCAGTGTATAATTGACCAAGCATCCCAAGTAAAGTCCTTCTGAGAACGAGTCTTGTGACTCTTAGCGAGGCTATCCTGGCTATTGTGTAGCCAGTTCATCTGGCGGCACATGGGCACTGCTGGGTTACTGGCTGCCTTTCTCCATGGAGATATATCACTGGCAGTTCTGTTGGGCAGATAGCTGTGCACCTGGCAAGTCTTCAATGGGTGCTTTTGCCAATTACACAACTGTGGGGTGGGTGAGGGGTTATAGCCTTGCAGATCAAAGAGTCTTGTATAAAGGTAATACACTTTGTTCTGTGTTGAGCTTCAACACACTGCTTGGAGGGCGACTCAAGAATGCGTCTAGAGGATTAAAGGAAGTGCCCAGTTTGGGGTTATGATGGTGGTGTTTTTGCAATGCAATCCAAATGTACAAAAATCTATCAACGATAACGTATTCAATATTTCAATTATCCATAACCTTAACTCATACATGTCCCTAAAATGGTTACACTAATTCCCGGGGCCTAGCGTAACCCTTGAGGCAGACAGAGAACGATGCTGCTTGTTGACTTGGAGTCAGAGAGCTGTACAGTGATATGAAGAAGAAAGCTCAAGATAGGACAGCATGGAGGAGGTCTGAGCCAACTACCTGCCAATGAGCAAAGGACTAGAGAAGAAGAGCCTCGTCCTAAAGAGGTGAAATCATTAAGACTCTAATGCAGCCATACACTTTTGGATCTGGTGGTGCATCCTTGTTAACCAACTCGTAAGGGCAAGAGTTTGTGGATCATCTAGGTTTGTGAATCTCCCAAACCCACAGGCTTGTGAGATGCCCAGGAGATGGCGATTCAGAAAATCGTCTGTGTCTTCCTGAACCTTTGAACATTCTCCCCTTGTGTTGCGTGTGTTTTTTCTGGGTCCTCCTGTTTAATCTCTTATGCAAGCAAAATCGACGTTCATCGAATTGACCAAACATTTTAAACCTCCTCAAAATATTGTTTTAGACTAAATTCACCTATCTTGGATACATTCCATTGCAAAAATACCTATATGGAAGCGTGTCCAACTGAATACAGAACAATACATTAAAACCTACTTTAAATGCTCTATTCACAACATACGATCAGTAAAGCTCACAGAGACTAGTGTACCAGCGCAGGTACATTTTGATCCGGGCGCAGAGGCCAGGTGGCGAGCAGACTTCAAAAGTGGAGAGTGCCTCGCGTCTGCACATTGACCAGGTGTGGAGCCACAGGGTGCAATGGGCCGCGAGAATATGTGGGTGAAAGGGTGGCATCTCACTTCGTGGGAATAGCTGCACAACTCCTGTCTGCCACTGCACGTTTTTTGTGTTTTATAAGAAATGTGTTTTTTTTTACAGCAGTTGTGGTAAACTGTGACGGTGGTCGAAGTAGCTTACTGATGATGAATAACACTTTCTCTTTGTACAGATGCCACCAGCCAGCACTTTATCAGTCTGCTTCTGGATGAATTGCTCCAGCATATCGTCGTGTCAGTCATTTGGCCATATTTCAGAATGCTGGTCAGTGTGCGTTGGTGAAGGGGAAGGTCCTTGATCGGTTCAGACAATCAGAATATGTATTTATACTGGAGGAATCTGATAAGCTATAAAGCAGTTTTTCACAGATGTCCAGGTAGAGGCGAGTAAGAATGTTAGAACAACAAACAATACAAAACCACGATCGGAGTGCAGGAAAGGTAAGCAAATCACAAAACAAACTATTTTTAATTTCTAATAAAAATTAAGTATTTGTATTTTACCAGATTAAGTCCACT